TGGAGCAGGAGAAAGGTGGGGTGCAGAACTCAAATTCTAGTAAGAAGACCAGACTTAATGGTCTGACTGAGACTGGAGGAACCCCAGAAAGCATGGCCCCTGGATTCTCTATCACACCAGAACTAAAACAATTTCCGAGGCCAACTCTTCAGACAGGGATTAGACTGGACTGTGGGACATAAGGTGATACTCGTGAGGAGTGTGCCTCTTAGCTCAAGTAGATCCAAGAGACTAAACGGGCAGCTTCTGTCCAGGGGTAAGATGGGAAGGCAGAGAGGGTTAGGAGCTGGTTGAATGGAATGAGGAATCAGGGGTGGAAGGGAGGAGTGTGCTGTCACAGTATGGGGAGAGCAATTAGGGTCACATAACAATGTATGTATAAATTTTTGTATGGGAAAAAATTAAAAAAAAAAAAAGATATTTCTCTCCCATCCCACTGCCCCTTTTACACCCAACAGTGTTAAGAGACTAGTGTTTTGCTGTGGCAAACATTTCTATGCCTTGCTGAAGCAAAGAGAATCTTTAGGGGCCAAGAAGCATGACTTTGCCATCATCCGAATAGAGGAACTGTGCCCTTTCCCATTGGATTCATTACAACAAGAGATGAGCAAATACACACATGTTAAAGGTAAGAGGTTGTTCTTGTTAGGGTTCTTTGGTTTTCATATATCTGAAACCTATTCAAATTAGTCCAAATGAAAAAGTTGTCAGTGTGAGCAGTGAGAGCTATTAGAAAATAGAACCTTATGTAATCTGAGGATATAAAAAAAAGTATCATTGGGAATCAAGGCACTCTGTCTCTGTGTCTCTCTTGGTGTCCCTCAGAGTCTCCCCTTCTCTCATCTAAAACAGTTAATTTCTTGAGGTTTGAGATAATAAACACTATACCATCAGTTATGAGAAATCCAGTAGAATTTTGTTAAAAGACAGGCCTTTTCAACAAATAAAGCTAGAATAATTTGGATATTCATATGCACCTTATATAGAAATTAATGCAAAATGGATCATAGACCTAAATGTATAATGTAAAACTATATGGCTTCTAGAAGAAAACAGGAGAAAATCTTTGTGACCTTGAATTAGGCAAATGTTCCAGATATGACAACCAAAAGCACAGTCCATAAAAGAAAAATTGAACTTTATCAAAATTAAAGACTTTTGTACTGTGAAAGGTATTGTTAAGAGAAAAAAAAGACAAGGTACAAGCATATTTGCAAATCACATATCTGACAAAGGACTATCCAGAATATTTTTAAAACTCCTAAAATTCAACATTAAGAAAACAAATAACCCAATTTAAAAACTGCATAAAAGATTTGAACAGGCACTTCACTACAGAAATGGATGGCAAATAAGCACATGAAAAGATATTCAGCATCATTAGTCATTAGGGAATTGCAAATTAAGCTACAATGAGATATGACTATGCACCAATTAAAATGGCTAAAATTAAGCATACACACACACGCACACACTGTATATTGACAATATCAAATGAGGGAATACAGAGGAGATGGATTTCTCATATCCTACTAATAGGAATGCAAAATGATCATCCACCCTGGAAAACAGTTTGGCAGCTTCATATAAAATTAGAGTTACCATATGACTCGGCAATGCCACTCCTAGGCATTAACCCTAGAAAACTTTTCTTTTATTGAGATGAAATTGACAAAACATAAAATTAAGTATTTTACAGTGATGAAAACTTTTTTCACACAAAAATCTGCATCTGAAAATTTATAAAGCTGCTTTATCCCTAATTGCTAAAAACTAGAAAGTACCAAAATATCCTTTAACCGGTGAATGAAAACAATCTGTGGTACATCCATACAATGACATATTATTCAGCAATAAAAAGGAATGAACTATTGCTACACACAACAACATGGATTTATCCCAACTGTATTTTGCTATCTCAAGGAAGCCAAACCCAAAAGGCTGCATATTATATGATTCTATTTATATGACCTTCTGGTAAATGCAAAACTGTAGGGACTGAGAAAAGATCAGTGGTAGGAGAAGCTGACTACAAAGGGATAGGATGGGGACTTTCGGGGGTTGATGGAACTCTTCCGTATCATGATTGTAGTGGTGGACATATGGCTATGTATACGCTTGTCAGAAAAAGACAAGCAACGCTGTGGCATTTTGGAAAGGCATATATTTGATTGAAATGCTATATGTATGTTGTATATGTTTCCTTGAGGCATATGTTTACTTGAGGTGCTGAAATGAACTTTCTTCTTTTATAGATTTTATTTGGAGTCAGGAGGAGCCTCAGAACATGGGTCCATGGTTTTTCGTTTCTCCAAGGTTTGAAAAACAACTGGCCTGCAAGGTAATGTCTCTCTCTCTTGCCCGCTTTCACAGTGTTGTACATGTGTGCCTGCATGAGTGTGTGTGTGTTGTTTCCTCTGTTTACTAACAAATGGATTTATCCTCATTACTAATCCGATTCTTTTCTTTAAAGATAAACAAATATAAAATCTACTTTTAGCCCATTCACTCAAAATAAAATGCTGAGAGTTTATCAAGCTGTATATGTGTACATATTAATATCGTATAAAAAAGTTGTTATTTTAAAAAAAGTAAAAGTCCTAACCTGCCTGCTACCTTTTCCACTAACCAACTCAGCAGGTCTTGACCTAAAGGTCAATATTCAAGCCCTAGAGAAGCAGGGTGATGAGCAGACTTGTTTTATAATATGGGACTAGAGACACCCACCAAGACACTCTTTCTGGTCCCGTCTACAAAGCTGGTGTACATGAAAGGCCACGTTCTTCCTGATTGTACTTTAGAAAGGGAAAAAAATTAGAAGAATAATCATGCTTCCGTTTATCTTTCTTTTCTGCTTTGATTAGAATTCAGGTCACTCATTGGATATTTGTTTGCTAGGCTCAAATCATTTTTACATGTAAGCAGTTCTAATTTAAAAAAATTCACAAATAAAACCAACTAATAGTTACGTTAAGACTTGATGAAATCCAGGAATTTATCTCTCTTTCTCATGCTTCGGATTTAGTTACTGGTTGTGACATATATTTCTCTCCAATCTAGTCTATGTAACTAATTATTTTCCAAAAGAGTGACTTATGTTTAAATAAGCTAAGAGGGACATATGCACCTCCTTGGGGGAGCTAAGCAGAGCTCTGATCAAGTCAAAATGTCATTTTATTTCTTCCCTGCTCCAATTATAGCTCCGTCTTGTAAGCCGACCCCCTTTGCCAGTACCCGCGGTAGGAATTGGCACAGTTCACTTGCAGCAACAAGAAGATGTTCTCACCAAGACCTTTGCTTGATGATGTTGTTTGAAGAAATACTACTTCCTTTTTAGACAGCTGTCACGCAAAGAAAGGCCTGCTTCCTCTACTTTCTTCCCCTTCCACTAGGTAACATTCAAAAGACTGTATTTCTCTAAGACATTGGAATTGATGAGGGCTATCTAATCTGGAATATGTGAAATGGCCAAGGGAAATGTTCGCCAATACAAGAATTCAATGAATAAACATTTACTTAAAGGTATAATAGTGTTATGTTTTATCTAGCTCTAAGTGAGGTATAGAACAAGTCATTATCCAGATTATTTCAGACTCTGCTCTTTGTAATTAATTGCATTATGACTAGGAAAAGTTCTTTAGCCTGAGTTTATAGGTACATACAGATTACCCCAACACTGACTTTCAATTTGTTTGATGCATGTCACTTCCATTAATTCTTTTTTCAAATTCCTCTGACTACCAGTATTTTCATTTTATGTAATCTCTGGTGCTGCTTTCCAGCCACTGTGAAAATTCTTCACCAAATGCTGTAGCAAAACTAGATTATTCCTGATTTGTGTTCTTCAAGATAGTTGTTTTACCCATTGTCCTTAAATATAGTTCTATTAAATAAAAATCCCTGAGTGTATGGTCTTCCAGCCGTAATATTATTAAGGAGTTTTAGCTATAATGAAATTGATTTGTGGTCTATTTTACTATATCTTTTTTTTTTTCTTCTTCTCAAATTGTTGTTGCAGTCACATCTTAGTATTTTTAACTGACTTTGGGTGTCTGATATGGGGATTTCAGCCTCCAAAAGTCCCTGCTGCAGTATGATGTCTATTTGTAGTGTGTAAACAAAGAGCACTTTAACTTTGACAGAGCAAACTTCCCAACACTAGGCGCCTGGGGACTTCTAGAGGTCATCGACCTATTGCCTCAGTCTAAAATTAGAACTAATAGCATGAAACAGTGTCGCTCCACTTGATTTTGTGCTATGGAGGCTCTACCATTCTTACATCATAACACTATTTCTCTCAGAAATGATGGGGGAAACACCAGGGGACTGGAATGAGCCCATGCCCTCTCCACTTTTACTGGCAACTCATGGTGTCTTTCAGAATCAATGTATATGCTGGTCTTGCCATAGCAGTAGATTCATGATTTACATCTTGAATGTAGTTAAGCATTAGTACATTGATCGAACATTTCCATAACATTCACATCCATTTTATTTCTATATACCTTAATGCTTGTAACTTAATGCCAATTATGTAAATCAGTAAAATTACAAAGATCTATTATATGAGAATGGTTATCAATGTTGTATATTTAACTAGAAAAAAATAAAAGTAGAATGTCATGTTTTTCAGAGCTCTTGGTTCTTAAAAGACTTCAAAAAGTCTAGGCACAAAATGAGATAGAAGACCAGTTTTTGTTTCCTTTTTTAAATTTAGATCTTTCCAAATTTCTCCCTGACTTTACACCTCACAAGTCTGTCTGTAGTTTCTTGTTACATCTTACCCAACTTGAACCATGAAATGGGTTTTCTGTCACTTTAACCTTCTTACTCAGAGTTCTTACTGCAAAATGGGTCAGCATTTTGAATTACCTTGCAGGAAGGAACCATTTGAAGAATTTCAAATCAAACACTGTTTCACTTTTTTCTTCTTTACTTCTCTTAAAACTTGATAATGTGATATTTGTATCCCATATTATATATGTGTGTGTGTATATATATATATATGCCAAATTCATGTTCACTGAAGAATAGAGTTTAAATTGAATATTCAGTGAAAGGAAATATTAGCAACCATGAAAATACTTGTTTTGTCTAAAATGATATTTTTAGTAAAATAAAAATTTCTCCCTTGTAAGAACCATTTGCTCAATTTCCCTTTGTTTTCCACAAGACATACTTTTTGGGAGAAATATTCCAAAGCATAGACTTCTTCCATCTATTACTTTTGAAATGTTAACTATTTTTGGTAATCCCTTGACTGGCAATAGGAACAACATCGCTTTTACAAAATTGAGGAAATAAGGTTTAAGGACATTAGGAGTTGCACAGGAAGGAGGTCACTGATTAGGAATCAAGACTTCGGGGTGTTAAGGTTCCAAACGCTTCACCTACACGTCTCTTGGATGTACTTGGACGTTTAATTTCTATCTTTATCATCTCATGGGGTCCAGGCTAAAATTATCATTTTTTGGGAAATTTGGACAAAATGTTTAAATCCTCAATATTTATAACACACTACTGCATAAATAAATAACTCCTAAATTACTCTATGGAAATAATTTTCATTTAAATCCAATAAGGCACAATCTAAACTGACTATTATTTCCCCACTGCCACTGTATTTTTTCCCCACTGTAAAGTCAATTAATTTTAGGAAAATTTTATTAAAAGTATTTGTTTCCTTGAGCCTTCTCTGTTTCATGTGGAGCATCAACTATAATTGAACGAAAGCAAGAAATGACCCTGTAATAGAATGGTGTTTCATCAATAAATATTTCATTGGACTCCTACTACATATATGACATTGTTCTAAACATTAGAAACACAAAGAAGTAAAAGATAAAATGGGTCACCCCCTGTCCGCAATAGACTAACAATCTAATTGAGAAGACAAAGCATTTTTCATGTAGAGAAATTCTTTTGTTGGATGGGCTAAACCAAGGTGGGAGGTCAAGGTAGAGTGATATTCCTGATAGATATAGATTAAGTGTCATATTGTGGTTATTCAAGGAAGAGTCCTGGGTAGCATGCAATCACCTCATATGCATGCAAAAACTGGACAATAAATAAGGAAGACCAAAGAAGAATTGACGCCTTTGAATTACGGTGTTGGTGAAGAATATTGACTATACCATGGACTGCTAAAAGAATGAACAAGTCTGTCTTGGAAGAAGTAAAGACAGAGTGCTCCTTGGAAGGCAAGGATGGCAAGACTTTGTCTCATGTACTTCAGACATATTATCAGGAGGGACCAGTCCCTGGAAACAGACATCATGCTTGGTCAGCAAATAAGAGGAAGATCCTCAACGAGATGGATTGACACAGTGGCTGCAACAATGGGCTCAAACATAGCAACAACTGTAAGGATGGCACAAGACTGGGCAGTGTTTTGTTCTGTTGTGCAGAACAACAGCAGCATGTAGTAGTGGAAACACGGAAGAATCCAGAGTATGAAACCTTATTCCTAGGCTCTTTCTTGAAACATGGAGCTATCCCAGAAATAGTAAAGAGAGGTATAGGCTACTCTTTCCCTTCTGTCAATTAGATGTTCAACTTGGTGCATCTTTATTGAAAGTATATTGTATTCATAAAATTAGCTCACAGTCAAAACTATATTTAAGTCAATCATTTGCAGGTTATTCTAGATAATACAAAGACTAATAAGCCCCTTCCTGCCATCTAGAAGTTTATAGTGTAGTAAACAAACAAAAAACTGAAACCAAATCAGTTGCCATCCTAGTGGAGGTTAAACAAGTATGAAAATTACTAATACAGAGTAAGGTAAGGATGAGTTGAAAGGATGGGAGATTATGACTGTGGCAGATTGTATTTTCCAAAAATGGCCACAACATCAGTCCCATATACTTTTCCAAAATCTTGCCACACCCCCTAGAGGTGGAGTCTATTTCTTATTTTGAAATTGAGCAGGCCTTTGTGGCTGCTTCTGTTAGTGCAATGCAGTGAAAGTGATGTTGGGTAACTTTCAAGGACATCCTTTGGCACCCAGCTACCGTGTTGTGAGGAAGCCCAGCCACATGGGGAAGCCACCTGCAGGTGTTCAAATGGACAGCTTCAGCTAAGGTCTTAACTGACAGCCAGCATTAAATGCATTCAGACGATTCAAGTCCTCCACACCCCCCCCAGCCTTGGAGCTACCCTAGCTGACTCCAAGTGGAACAACACCTGTGCAAGCCCAGCCTAAATTGCCTCTCCCCTAGATATATACATGCATATTTTGCTCCATTGTTGGACAAAGATCTAAGCATTAGAACAGATCACTGGATTTGATGATAATAGGTCATTAGTTACCTTTGAAATATGTTTCAGCAGACGTTAGAAATTAGATTGCAGGGGTTTGACGTATGAAGTTTGAGGGTCTACTATGTATCAATTTCTTAGGTTTTTTTTCCACACCTGTAGGTAGATGTTGTCCTTATTTTACCTATATAGCTCAGAAAGATTAATTGCCCAAAGCCAAACAATCAGTAAGCAGCAGAGGAGGAATTAAAATGTAGGGCTATCTAATTTGTAAGACCGTGCTTTCCCTTACACCATGCTGTCACAAGGGTATAAACGGCGACTAGTGTATATAGCAATATTAGAGACAGAACAGTGGCTTCAGGAAACTGTTAAACAGGAGGAGGCATAAAATCCTCTGTATCTTGAAGATGGAGGAGCATAATTAATAGATGAGAGAGAGTTCATAAGCTATTAACTACAGACAATATGTCAAGTCAAAAAAAAAAAAAAACAAAACTCGGAAAGGTTACAAGATGGAATCAAATAAAAAGGCCGGTACGATCATGCTTGCTGTCAGGGCCGCACAGCTCCCGGTCTCGGAGGAGCCCCGAGCCCCACACTCCTCCATGGGCTGTGGGCGCCACTGCGGCTGCCACATAGGCCCTGCATCCTGAACCGCCCCCGCCTGGCGGCACCGGAATCGCGGCCTCCCCTGCCGGGGGCGCCCAGAAATCCAGGGTCGGATGCGGCCATTTCTTTACACTGAGTTTCGAAACGTGCCTCAAGAAACGAAAAGCTTGGGCCACTACGGCCTCTTATAGGACGGAGACCTTCACGGGTTCCAAACCCCCCAGCCCGAATGAAACAGGTCAACATGCAACGGTTATCCTAGCCTCAGCCGGCAACCAGACAACTCGAAGACCGGGGCAGGCAACCCCTTCGCGCAGCAAAGGCGGGGCCAGCCAGCCGCCCTGAGCCCGCCCTCACCGCTGCACCGGCGGTGACCATGGCAACGGAGAGGACTTCCGTCCAGAGGCCGACGGCCAAAGGCTGAGCCTGGGTTTGGGGGCGGGCCAAAACTGGGCAGCCGCCCGGGTCACGTGACGTGGGGCGGAGCCTACGCGGGGCCGAACTGAACGCGTCAGGAGCCGGCGCCGAGGCCCAGGTGGCAGGACTCGAAAGAAGGGAGCGCCGAGGCCGCTGTTCCCTGCCGGCCCTCCCCAGCTGCCACCATGGGGAGTAAGTATCGCGGACGATGCCAGATCCAGAGGGTGTGTGAGCGGGGAAGCGGAGTTCTCGCCCGGGGTTTGGGTCCCGACAGAGCTGAGGGCGGGTGGCACGGTGTTGCCCAGCCTGCGGGCCGAGGATGCGCAGGCCGGCCGGACCGCTGCGGAGGGGGCGGGGCGGGGGCCTCCAGCGAGGCTCCTGCAGCGGTGCGAAGCCTTGGCCGGGCCGACGTCGCAGACCGTGACCCGGAGGCCCGGGGTCTGTGCGCGATAGGTGGCGAGGAGCGGAGGATGGCTCGTGGTGGCCATTAGTTTTGGGGGCGGGAAGTTAGGGAGCCGAGCTAAACCTGGACCACTTTTAATTTTTTAGGAGCTTATTTGGTAGCTTGTATTTCTATTAACTAATCTCTTTTTCTTGCCATGCTAGTTGTGATGGCTAAGGCTCCCCGACTCGTTTAATTAAAAAAAAGTGATACATGAAATATATGTTAGAGGAGGAAAGGAGTGCGATTGGTAGCATGGAGTTTTTTTTTAAATTTTTATTTCTGTAGCGTTTACTGGAAAGTTACTGTGTGTAAGGTTGTATAAGCCCTACGACTAGGGACCTTGTATTATAGGGATCTTTTGAGGCCTGTCCCCCAAACACTCACCACCACATACATACAGTACTTACATAGCTATTCAGATGTTTGCTGGGTAAATGGATAACTACATACTCAAGCAGTGCACCGTTGGCCAACTAGTGGACATTTGGAGGAAGTTGAAAAGGAAGTAGAGGAGACTCCTGGCCTTGAATTTACAGTATAATGGATAAAATTCTGCAACACAAGAATACGCAGGAGGCAGACAGAAGCATTGCTTGAACATTGAGTACCCCAGCACAGATGATCAAGAAATCTAGGAGAGTGGCTTGGATTGAGGTGGGAAAGAAAAGGATTCTGGGAAGTTTCCTGACGTGAATGATACTTGTTTTGCGCTAGAGATCAGTGCTTTTGTAATTCAGAGGTACAGGTTTATTTTCCAAATAGCCCATGAGAATTGCTGAATTCTTCTATTAAACATCAGTGACTGTCATCATTTTGAGAGGTTTTATAAAAAGATAAGGAGCCCTGGTGCTGAAGTGGTTAAGCACTGGGCTGGTAACCAAAAGATTGGTGGTTCAAACCCACTGCCGCTCCATGGGAGAAAGATGTGGCCGTCTGCTTCTGTAGCGATTACAGCCTTGGAAATCCTATGGGGCAGTTTTGCTCTTTCCTGTAGGGTCGCTATGAGTATGAAACAACAACCAGTTTGGTTTTATAAAAAGATAGTATAATCAACTTTCATCTAACTGTGGAAATGTAATTAATCATGCCAGTTTTAAAACAACATCAAGATGTTAGTAAACAGAATCCATTGTGTATAGAGGAAGATGATCATATCTAATAGCTAGCTGTGGCTTCTTGTGTTTCTGTGTGTTACCGACTACTGGCAAAGGACCAACCCTTGAGAGATTATCATCTTCATCCTCCAGTTCTCTGGAAGGATTTGACTTAAACCTTGCCAGAAGGTAGTTCTCTAACCTGTTCTTAAAGAACCTTGGTTTCTCTTTTATATACTGTAAGAGTTGTTTTGGAAAACAATACTTATGAAATATAATTGTTCCCTGGGCTGATTATTGTAAATAAACAAGTACTTTGAGATTATTAAGTGGGAGAAAAACCAAGCAATATTAAAATGTGGCTTAACAAAATGAAATAGAGATTATATACTTTAAAAGGTTATCTATATTTTCAGTGGAGAATGGCATTCTCCTTTATTCCTCCTCTGAGATCTCTTATTTTCTTTTATAATGCAGTGTTTTGTGAGTATAATCCAGTCCAGTCGCCATCCAGTTGATTCCACCAATGTGGGTGCCATAGTAGACTACGTTTGCTCTGTTTTTTGACTTAGTGGTTATGCTCTTTGAGTAATTCTTTTACACACACACAGACACACAGACACACACACACGTTGGATACAAGCATGGGGAGGCAGAGTCATGGTAAATGGATACTTATATTATTTTGCTTCTACTGACTAGCCCTCAGTCTTTTTGGGTTCTTTTCTCCCTTGAATTATTTCTCTTCTCTTATGTATTCATTTGTAATGGAGAGTCTCATAAGTAACTAATTTGGGGTTGGGTTGGAGTGGGATGGGGATGAGGTTGATGGCCATTAAAAGTTAGAAAGCATTTATATTTGATTCTGTAAAAAGATACATCTCTTTTTTTAAAACTTTGTAATAGGATCATTTATTCTTTTTATTTTTAACAGTCAAATTTTTAGAAGTTATCAAGCCTTTCTGTGCAGTTCTACCAGAAATTCAGAAACCTGAAAGGAAAGTAAGTATAATATTTTAGTAATATAAAAGGTAGTTAAATGACATATCATGCTAAAAAAAACAAGGTTTATTTACTCCCCCTAACCCCCCCTTTTTTTGGAGCCCTAGTGGCACAGTGGTTAAGAGCTATGGTGAACTATGGCTGCTAACCAAAAGGTCAGCAGTTTGAATCCACCAGCAGCTCCTTGGAAACTCTATGGGGCAGTTTTGCTCTGTCCTATAGGGTCACTATGAGTCAGAATTGACTTGATGGCAGTGGGTTTGTTTTTTTCATTTGAATTCTTTTTTGGTTATAATTGGAAAAATATTACATGCTCATAAAGCTAGTATAGACCTGTTTAAGTCTAGATAGGTTAGCTTATGGTTTCAAAAATGACTGTTCTTTAAGTTGTAATATTTCCAAACCAAATATGTCTTTGGCCTGTGTGTTAGTTAAAATATAGTTTATAATCCATTGCTGTTGAGTCAGTTGTGACTCATAGTGACCCTACAGGACAGAATAGAACTGCCCCAAAGGGTTTGCAAGGCTGTAGTCTTATAGAAGCAGATTGTCACATCTTTATCCTGTGGAGCGGCTGGTGGGTTTCAACTGCTAACCTTTTGGTTAGCAGCTGAGCACTTAACCACTGTGCTACCAGGGCTTCTTAAGATATAGCCTATAATCCAATCAAACCCACTGCCATCAAGTCCATTTTGACTAAGAGCAGCCCAATAGGACAGGGTAGGACTGCCCCATAGGGTTTCCAAGGCTGTAAATCTTTACGGAGCGGCTGGTGGGTTCAAACCTCCGACCTTTGGGTTAGCAGCCCAGTGCTTTAACCACTGCACCACCGGGGCTCCCGATACAGTCTGTAGTGATCCTTTATGATTCCTGTAGTACAGGGTGCATTGTACTTGCTGATGATGTGATCCACTGGACTCTAAATGACCCAGTCTGTCGGATAGATGAGTACAGCTGTTTTAAATAAATGAATTGCAGTTGTGCAAGTTTGTACCTCAGTTCTTGATCCACTTAATGGAAAGAATAATGATGGAAATGCATTCAGAAGATACTGTGACTGGATCAAATAATTCTTGTGTCATTGTGCACTTTTGGAGCTAAGGTATTTAAATTCCAGATATGTTTTTAATCGCAAACTGGTCAGTTCCCAGACATTCCTTTTCTGCAGTACTTTTGATTTCTCAGAAACTAACAGGAATAGAGACATAGAAAGATACGTAAAGCTTTTAAACTTACTATTTTATTTAGAAGTATATTTCTTCTTTATTGCTTTGAGATTATAAAAATAGTTACTGCAGGTACATTTAAGGCATCTTAAGAAACTGGAGCTTTTCATGTTCTATGAAATATCCAGTAATAGAATAGTATTACAGGCAGTCCTAGCTGCATGGTACATAGGTGAACTGGGTCTTACTTTGCATCCATTTCAGTTTCAGTTGGTATCTTACTGTAATGAGTGAGGACTGCCTGTATTTAAATTATTTTTAGAAAAGTTAAGAAAATTATTCTGGAAAAGTTCTGCTGTTTTAACTGCTACTAACTAGGGTGAAAGGGCTAGGTTAAGAATAAATAATAGGACAATATGATGATGGGAGAATGTTGGTTATGATTTAATGTCTTTTGCTTTATATTTTCTAGTTCTTGGTTTTGATGATCTTGATTGGTTCTTTATACAGATTCAGTTTAGAGAGAAGGTACTGTGGACTGCTATAACTCTCTTCATTTTCTTAGTGTGTTGTCAGGTATGTAACTATATTATCTAAATGGCTGTACATTTGTTCTGAGGTTTTGGTGGGTTAAAATTTGAAAAAAATTATTTTCATTAAAATAAATATATGGAAATATATTCAGCATTATTATTCTTTTTAATCTGAGCTATTTTAATAGTGAAAATGGTTATCTTGTTCTCTACTGTGTATTCATTTTTGGTTTACTAGTGAGGTTGAACATTTTTAGTTTTCAACTTTCCCATTTTTCTCTTGTTTTTCTTACTCATTTAGAACAGCTTCTTATATATAAAGGTGCCAAAACCTTTGCCATATATTACAAATATTTTTCCAGTTTGTTTGCCTTTTGTCATGTTGCAAATAGCATGTATTAATATAAAAATCCCAAGAAGCCAATATTTAGAAACTCTGTGATATATAGTGTTTATAATTTAATAAAGTTCAATTATACTTTTTAATCAGATTTTGCAGAGAGATTAAATTCATGAAATGAAGATAAAATGTGAGCTGCCTGTGTCACAGGGTACCAAAATACAGATAAGGAGCTTTTTAAAACGTATTTTACACTAGGAAACAGTAAAACAGATCAGGTACACAATGTGGAGAAGCGCCAAATAGATTTTCTTTTTGACGGATGAAATGATTAGATCGTTTAATTGTGCTTAGTTCAATTCCCTCCCCTCCCCCCCTTTTCCTGGATAGTTAGGAAGAGAGAAATACAAAATAAAAAAGAACAATCATCCCTGTGTTTACCATCTATTTTTAACATCTTGGAAATTTCCCTCTTTTCCATTAAAAACAACAACAACTTCATTGAGCTGTGATTTACAAACAATAAAGTGCCCCCATTTTTAAAATGCACATTTTGAAGAGTTTTGTCAAATGTATCCATCCAGGAAACCACTACCTCCGTGGATATAGGAAATTTCCATCACTCCAGAAAGTTCCCTATGTCCTTTCGCAATCAGTCTTCACCTCATCCCCAAGCCAACCACAGATCTTTTTCTTTGACTAAAATTAGATTTGTCTTTTCCATTGTGCATTAAATAGAATCAGATAGTATATACTCTTTAATGTCTGCCCTCCTTTCTCTACATCAGTAATTTATTTCTTTTTATTTCTGAGTAGTACTGTACTATATGCATATATCACAGTTTGTACATCCATTTACCTGTTGTTAGACATTTGGGATGTTTCCAAATTTTGGTAGTAAATAGTGAAGCTACTATGAACATTCATTTACAAGTCTTTGTGTGGACATTTATTTTCATTTCTCTTGGGCGAATATCTAAGTGTGGAATTTCTGGGTCGTATGGTAAATGTATGTTTAACTTTATTAGAAACTGTCAAACTGTTCTCTAAGCAATTGCCCCATTTTTTATTCCCCTCAGTAATGTATGGGAGTTCTAGTTGCTCTGCATCCTTGTCAGCACTTGGTATTGTTGATCGTTTTAGTATTAACCGTTCTAATGACTGCGATTTTGCATTTCCCTGATAAATGATATCGAGCAACCTTTTATGTAATTGTTGGGTATTTGTTTATCATCGGTAAAGTGTCTTTTCAGATCTTTTGCCCATTTAAAAAAATTAGATTGTCTTATTGAATTATAAGTGTTTTTTATATTTTTTAGCTACAAGTCCTGTGTCAGCTGTATCGTGAATATTTTCTCCCACTCTGTGGCTTGTCTTTTCATTTTCTTAATGATGTTTTTGAGGAGTAGAAGTTTTCAGTTTTGATGTTCAGTTTATTATTTTTTTCCTCTGATACTTCATGGTTTTTGTGTCTATCTAAGAAATGTTTGCCTGCCCTAACATTGTGAAGATTTTCTCCTGTTTCCTTCTAAACATTTTGTAGTTTTGCCTTGTGTGTTTTGATTTATGATCTATTCCAAGTTAGTTTTTGTGTTTGCCATGAGGTAAGGATTGAGATTTGTTTTTTCTGCATGGATATACAGTTGTTCCAGCACCACCTGTAGAAAAGGCTATCCTTTTCCCATTGAATTACCTTGACATCTTCGTTGAAAATCAGTTCTGTACTTTCTGTTCCGTTCCATTGATCTATATGTCTGTCCTTTTTTTAAACCACACTGTTTTTGATTACTGTAGTTTTATAACAAGTCCTGCAATCAGGTCATTAAAGTCTTTTAACTTTATTCTTTTTTCAAAATTATTTTGGCTATTCTAGCTACTTCTTTTTTCCATATAAATTTTTTGAATCAGCTTGTCAGTTTCTACAAGAAAGCTGGCTGTGATTATGATTTGGATTACTTTGAATCTGTAGATCAGTTTAGAGAAAATTATAGACTTGACAGTATTGAATTTTCTAATCCAGCTGTCAGCAAACTTTTTTCTCTGAAGGGTCAGATCGTAAATATTTTAGCCTTTGATGCCATAACCTAAGAAGAACAAAATCTAACTCAAGGAAAAGAATGACAGAACAATTTATGCATTTTATGTTACTTTATTACCACCACCACCCCACACACCCCCACCCCCGCCCCGTGATCGGTTTACATAGTTGTTGTTGAACTGTATTTTTGTCTTTTTCATGCTTAGGCAGCTCTGCTCTGTGTGGGTGATTTCTTGACTTTTCTTCCACTGAATCGCAAACAGGTTTATTTTCCACTCGTAGCCAGATTAAGAGTTTAGTGTTTCTCTCCTGTTCTATCCAGTTTTGTTTGATGAGTAGGGAAGGAAAACCCTTCTGAGATAAATGCAGTAAATGATGAAACCTGGTCTGTGCTCTTTCTTCTTAGATTTTTGTTAAATGTGTATGTGACGGTTCTCACCACCTGATTGGGGAAGGCTATATTTCATTCCAGACCTCAGATCCGTCCCCAGTTACAATTCAGTGCAGCTCTGTAATCTTCAGTTCCATCAGAGAAAGTCAGCCCTGGCTTTTCATCCATTTCTTCCCAGCTCCTGTTTCTACTCCCTCATAGCCAAAACAAGGAAAAGATAAGGATATCTATGCAGGTTACTTTTTCTTCAGATTTGGAATGTTACTGAGGATTCTATTGACTTCCCAGTGTGGTGGTGAGGAGTAGCTTCGTAATGAGTCGCTTTACTACTTAATTGTCTGGTTTTCCCCCCATGACAACCAGTCTTTGAAGTTTTGTTTGGCTTCTTTATGATCCCCCCCCCTTTTTTTTTTTCATTTTTGTTAGCTATTTTACCTTTTCTTAAAAATGTACTTCATTATGTAGCAGGGGAAGGAAATGTAATGTAATTGCAACTTGCCATGTTAACCTGATAACATCTTGTTTGGTTTTCAGATCCCACTGCTTTTGGAAATCTCTAGTGATGATTTTCTGTTTGTCTATCTGATTAGTTCAACATTTCCATTAAAGTATGGAATTCTTTGTTTCTCCAAAGTGCTGTACTGTGTTTTGTCAAGTTGAAACCTGTTATTATATGTATTATAGTATAAACTTTGAACTCTTTTCAGCTGACAGATTCATAGAAAATAGCTCCTGTTGCTGCCTAACTGTTGTTGCTCACCATCCTGTAGCTGTGGAATTTATTAAGAGAAATAAAATTAGAAAATGATTTTCATAATCCTAGTGACTGCAGGAAAGGAGGGCATATCATTATTTAGGGGAGGTAGGCTGACTTTGTTCAAAGTCCCACAGAGCATCTAACCGTGGAGGCAGTGGCTGTCTCTGTTAGACATAATTAAGGAAAGTAATTTGAGTGATTAACCTCTTTCCCACTTAGAGAATATTTTGATATGAGCTATCCTATCGTGCTAATGGGTTTTTACACAATAATTTTCTTACTCCCTATCCCTCACTTGAGCTGAAGAGTATCTACAGCTATAGGGTGTACATAAAATATCCATGCTTCTTGCTTCACCAGTTTTGCAACCCAGCTAGTCAATTCAGACATCCAGAGAGGTTTAAGTTGACCAAGTGGTTGTTTAAAATTCCAGGCAGGATCTTAGAGAAAGTGTTTGAAATTGGAAATGTATTTTTTTTGTGTGTCTGATCCCTACGTAGTAGGGAAGGAGTTATGACCAAGTGCTGTATCTTAAACATGGGTCATGTAATAGGAAGAAATCTGAAGCTCCCCCCCCCAATTAAAAAGTAATATTTGCTCATTGTTGAAAATTTGATAAATACTGAATGGAATAAAAAAGAAAAAGTCAACCATAATCCCACCTCCACTCTGTTCAAGATTTTTAAAAATATTTACTTGGAGTTTTATTTTCTACGTGTAGTTTTACAATGTTTGTATTTTCCTTTATTTATACAATTTTATACCTTTCTTTTTATACCAGGGTTTCTCAGTAGTGGCACTATTGACATATTTATTTTGGGGGGCTGTCCTGTGTCTTGTAGGATTTATAGCAGCATCTCTGACCTCTGCCTGCTAGATGCCAGTAGCAACCTTTCTCCAAGTTGTGACAACCAAAGATGTCTCCAGACATTGGCAAATGTCCTCTGGGGGCAAAATCGACCCTAGTTGAGAACTACTATTTTATATTTAACATTATAAACACTCATAATTTTTAGTGACTGCATAGTCTTCCATTTTATATATCATCTTCAGTTTCATGTCTAGGAGTGTGACCTTTGCTGTCTTTAGTACCCATAGCTTTGTAAAATTATTCTATGATTAGAAAGATATCACATCCTATGATATATTGATATCCTATCTTATAATCTATTGATAGGAGTATTTACTAGTAAAATGCAGTAAGTAATAATTTCTGTTTTTATTTTCATTAAAGAACTTACACTTAAAGATATGTTTGTTTTTGTTGTAGAACATAAGAAGCTTTTCCCCCTTACTATTCTAAACATTAAGTGAATGCATTGTAAATTAAGTATAAACTTCATATGTATTTTTATAAAGGATTTTATGTAATAATTATAGATACCACTCTTTGGAATCATGTCATCAGATTCTGCAGATCCTTTCTACTGGATGAGAGTTATTCTTGCATCCAACAGAGGTAGGTATTCTTTTGTTGGTTTTTGCCTTCCACACTGCTGCTGGCATCAAATAGATCTAAAAGTGTGTATTAACCATTTTTTAATGTCTACAGGGAGAGAGAGGATATGAGAAAGGAAACGCATTGCCTAGGAAGAGACACCAACATGTAAATTTTACAACGCAGTGTATTTATTGTAGGAAGAGAAATATGTACAGAGTATTAGAGATACTCCAGAGAATGGAGTGATTTTCAAGCACTGCCTAGAGCTTTGGTTCTCAGCCCTTTTATGGATCATGTTTCCTTTGAGAATCTAATTAAATTTTTGTGTATTCTCCCTGGAAAAATGTATGTACACACATATACAGTGCAAATTTTGCATAAAATTTCAAGAGATTCATGGACCCTGTGAAGTCTATCCTTTTTTTTTTTTCCCCCATGAGACCAAGAAACCCTGGTCTGCAGTGTCAGAGAGGAGATGGTACCTGAACAGCACTTTGAATTGAAATTCAGTATATGGAATGATAGGAGAAAGGGCGTTCCATACAGAGGAAAGCCTGGGCTAAGGCGGAAATGCATAATAATAGCATGATGTAGTCTGGTTAATTTTTTTTTTTTTTGAGAGTTTGCCTTTTGTTAAACATGTTACAAAAGGGATTTAGTCAAAAAGACCAAAGCCCGTGTCATCATCAGACTCTTTAGAGTCTTCTTTCTTTGCTTCCAAAAATATGGAGTGCTTCACGAATTTGTGTGTCATCCTTGCACAGGGGCCATGCTGATCTTCTCTATATCGTTCTAATTTTAGTCTCTGTGCTGCCAAAGCGAGCACTAGTCTGGTAAATTTTGAGTGGAGAGTGCTGATAAATGCGGCTAAAGAGGAAGGGAGGGGCTGGATCATGAGGTTTGTTGCATGTAAGGAAGAGGGAAAACCAAAAACCAAACCCCTTGCCATGGAGTTGATTCTGAGTCATAGTGACACTATAGGATAGGATAGAGTAGAACTGCACCCATAGGGTTTCCAAGGTGGATTCGAACTGCTGACCTTTTTTTTTTGACTGAACAATTGTGAATTTCTTATTTATTTTTTTACTGTTGTGGTTTAAGTGAAAGTTTACATTTCAAGTTAGTCTTTCATACAAAAATTTATACATACATTGTTATGTGACCCTAATTGCTCTCCCTATACTGTGACGGCACACTCCAGCTTTCAACCCCTGATTTCCCGTGTCCATTCAACCAGCTTCTAACCGTCTCTGCCTCCTCATCTCACCTCCGGACAGGAGCTGCCCGTTTAGTCTCATGTATCTACTTGAACTTAGAAGCACACTCTTCACGAGTATCATTTAATGTCCCACAGTCCAGTCCAATCTTTGTCTGAAGAGTTGGCCTTGGGAATTGTTTTAGTTCTGGGTTGACAGAAAGTACAGGGGCTGTGCTTTCTGTGGTTCCTCCAGTCTCAGACAGACTGTTAAGTCTGGTCTTTTTATTAGAATTTGAGTTCTGCACCCCACCTTTCTCCTGCTCCATCAGGGACTCTGTTGTGTTCCCTATCAGGGCAGTCATTGGTGGTAGCCGGGCACCATCTAGTTCTGGTCTCAGGCTGATGAAGTCTCTGGTTTATGTGGCCTTTCTGTCTCTTGGTGAACTGCCGACCTTTTGGTCAGCAGCCGAGCTCTTAACCACTGTGCCACCAGGGCTGTGCTTATTTTTTTTTCTGAAACACTTTAAATAGTTGGTAGGTATTTTTTGGCAGTTTTTTAGATTATGAAAGTATTATTGGTTTATTAAAAAATGCATCAGATTGTAGCATCTGGGGTCTTAAAAGCTAGGGAGCAGCCATCTAAGATACATCAGTTGGTCCCAACCCCCCTGGAGCAAAGGAGAATGAAGAACACCAAAGACACAAGGAAAATATTAGCCCAACAGATAGCAAGGGCCACATAAACCAGAGACTCCATCAGCCTGAGACCAGAAGAACTAGATGGTGCCCAGCTACCACCAATGACTGCCTCGACAGAGAGTTCCTGATGGAGCAGGAGAAAAGTAGGGTGCAGAACTCAAATTCTAGAAGAAGACCAGACTTAATGGTCTGACTGAGACTGGAGGGACCCTGGAAGACATGGCTCCTGGACTCTGTGTTAGCCCAGAACTGAAACCATTCCTGAAGCCAACTCTTCAGACAAAGATTAGACTGGACTATGAGACATAAAATGATACTTGTGAAGAGCGTGCTTCTTAGCTCAAGTAGGTAAATGAGACTAAATGGGCAGCTACTGTACGGAGGTGAGATGAGAAAGCAGACAGGGTCAGGAGCTGGTTGAATGGACACAGGAAATCCAGGGTGGAAAGGAGGAGTGTGCTGTCACATTATAGGGAGAGGAACTAGGTCACATAAAAATGTGAATATAAATTTTTGTGTGAGAAACTAAAACTGTAAACTTTCACTTAAAGCACAGTAAAAAAAATGCATCATGTTTATATAAGGTTTAGATAAAACTGAAAACAAAAAGTTTCAGTTCTCAAGGATAACTCCTGGGAAGTTAATAGATTAGTGTATGCTCATCCAGATTTTTTTTGTGTCTACATTCACATATATAAGTTTACATATCTTGTGTTAGTCATCTAGTGCTGCTATAACAGAAATACCACAAGTGGATGGCTTTAACAAAGAGAAGTTTATTTCCTTACAGTAAAGTAGTCTAAAAGTCCAAATTCAAGGTGTCAGCTCCAGGGGAAGGCTTTCTCTCTCTGTGGGCCTTCTCATCAATGTTCCCCCGGACTAGGATCTTCTCCACGCAGGGACCCTGGGTCCAAAGGACACGCTCTGCTCCTGGCATTGCTTTTTCAGTGGTATGAGGTCCCCCTGTCTCTCTGCTTGCTTCTGTCTTTTATATCTCAGGAGATTGCCGAGGACGCAATTCAATTTTGTACTTTGAGTCCTGCCTTACTAACACAACTGCCACCCATCCTCGCTTATTAATTTCATAGAGGCAGGATTTACAACATACAGGAAAATCACACAATGCCAGGAATCATGGCCCAGTCAAATTGATACACATGTTTTTTGGGGGACATAATTCAATCCATGACATACCCCCCTTTTTTTTTTTTAAACTAAGAAGATATATAGATAGATATATATACTGTTACTAGTTTACTTAATATCTTATATGATCTATTTCATTTAGTGGCTATGTACTATTCCATTGTATGGATATGCCATGATTTATTTAATCATTTATTCAGCAAATATTTATTGAGGTCTTACTGTGTATCAGGCTTTGTGCTAGACTCTGAAATTAGAGCATTGAACAAGACAATATCTCTGTTGTCATGGAGTGTATATTATTTCTGTTTGGAAGCTACATGAATCATGTTGGGTGGGGAAGAACCCTCTAAGAAGGTAACATTTGAGCGAAGATCCGAGGAAGTGAGAGAGAAGGTGTCTTAGGCTGGGTTCTCTAGTGAAGCAAAACCAGTAAAGTGTATAAATATATATAGAGAGACATTTATATCAAACAAACAGCTCATGCGATTGTAGAGGCTGGAATGTCCCAAGTCCGTGGATCAGGATACAGGCTTCTCCTGATTCAGGTAGCTACAGGGGCTGGCGAAGCCAAGATCGGCAGGTCGGAAAGTAGGACTCTTGCTTACAGGCTGTGAATATCGACGAATCCCAAGATTGGCAGGCAAGGCTGTAAGGCTTCTCCTGATTCATGTAGCTGCAGGGGCTGGCGAACCCAAGATTGACAGGTCAGAGAGCAGGGCTCCACTCACAGGCTGTGAAAATCGACGAATCCCAAGATCAGCAGATAAGCTGACAGCTCAAGTCCCAGTTCAGGGCATCAGCTCCAGGAGAAGGCTTTCTCTCTCTTTCGGCTCTGGAGGAAGGTCCTTGTGATGCATCAGCCTTCCCTTGGTCTGGGAGTATCTCAGCACAGGAATCTCAGGTCCAAAAAGATATGCTCTGCTCCCAGCACTTCTTTCTTGGTGCTTTGAGGTCCCCGTGTCTCTTATGCCCACTTTTCTCTTTTATATCTCGAAAGAGATTGGCTTAAGACACTATTTTTGTAGACCCCATCAATATAACTGCCACTAATCCATCTTATTACATCATAGTGATAGAATATACAACACATAGGGAAATCACATCAGATGAAAAAATGGTAGACAATCATACAATACTGGGAATCATGACCTAGCCAAGTTGACAGATATTTTGGGTGGACACAAATCAATCCATGGCAGAAGGCCATGTGAAGATCTAGGGGGAAAACATTCTAGGGAATAGCAAGCGCAGAGGCCCTGAGGTGAAAGTATGCTTATTGTGTTCAAATAATAGTGAGGAGGCCAGTATGGCTAGAAGAAAATAAGGAAGAAGGGAAGAGTGGGACTTGTTGCAGATGTGGCCAAGAGCCAGATCATGAAGGGCTTGTAGACCATAGTAAGCAGGTTGTATTTTAAGTACAATAGGAAACTGTTGCAGGCCTTTAGGGTGCTCTCCTGTCATGTATTCAGTTTTTTCCAATTTTATAAAAAACACTGCTGTAGTGAATGTTATTGTACACTACTGTAATTTTTTAATAGAATGAAGTTCTAGAAGTTTTTTTGGTTACCAGGCACGTACACCTAAAATTTTGAGAGATGATGCTAGATTGTCTTCCAGAAGGGTTGTATTATTTTTTACTCTCAGTAACAGTATATGAGAATGACATTTCTTTTCCCACAATGGATATTATTAGTCTTTTAATCATAGTGAATCAGACAGGTGAAAATTTGTATATATCATTTAATTGTATTTCTTTAAGTATTCGTGAGCTTGAACATCATTTTATATTCTTATTGAATATTTGTGTATCTTCTAAGTATGTATTTGTATTATATGTATATCTTCTGTGAATTCTGTTAGTATGTGAAATTTCTTTTTATTATAGCTGACTAGTTTAAACATAAAAATGGAATTTATTGTAAGGATATTGGTTAGTTTTTGGACTCTAAAGACGAGGTAAACAATTAAGCCTTGGGAAGAGGGGGAACCAGGGCAGCTCTTGTATCTCAGCAGCAGGGACTTGTGAACTCCCAGATTCCTTCTTTCTTAGTTCAGAATTCCCAATTATCAGGATTTACATCAGGTTCAGTCAGCTTTTGTTAGATTGTCAGCATTACATAGGACAGATTTTGGTACTAGGGGTCCACTCTCATATTGTGGGCATTTTCCTGAGAAGGATCATGAGAATCATTTTCCTGAGAAAGATCATTGGAAAGAAACATCATTGGAAATACCCACACCATAAATCTGTTATTTCCTTTTTTTTTTCCTGTTGGTCTGTTTATTTTTTAATTGATTTATAAGTGCTCTTTGTATATTAGAGACATGAGCTCTTTGTCATTGGCGTTTGAATATTTTTCTTTTAACTGTGCTGTCCTTTGCCATATGGAAGTTTCATAGTTGCATCTAATCGTATCTTCCCTCTTTTTCTTTGTGGCTTTCAGGTTTTTGTCGTGCTTAGAAAGGCTCTCCCTCTTCTCCAAGATTACAAGCATACTCACCCACGTTTGCTTCTAGTAACTTTTGTGGTTTATCCTTTATGTTTAAATTTTCTATACATCTGGCATTTATTTGGATGTAAGGTATCTAAGATGTAAGGAATCTAAGTTTATTTTGCTATAAGTGGGCAGTCATTTGCCAAAGTCCATTTATCCTTTTTTTGTCTGCTGATTTGAAGTACTATATTCCATATATAACATTTTCATTAAAGCTCGGTTAGATCTATTTCTAGACTAGATCTATTGACAGTTGTAAATTTTGGTAATTTGACTTTAAAAAGATCTTACTGTCAGTTGTTTACCTCCTCTTTAGAGTCCAGTGGCCTTAACAATAAGATTTGTTTTCATCTTTTACTATTGAAGAAAGTAGTAATTTTGTCTATCTGAGACAACGTCAAGAATCCATTTAATGGAATATTTTCCACTATTAAGGGCACCTCTTCAGTATTTATAAAAAACAAGATTTAAGGGTATACTGTGATGGAATACAGAATATACAATGAAAACATGTAGAATTATTCAGTTCTACATTTTACCTTACACACTTGCCATATTTGGTTTTTATATTTTTCACTATAAATGTAATACTTATTTTCTGTAAAGAAAAGAACTTAGAAGCAAGAAGAAGAAAATGGAAATCATTCACAATCCCATTGGGTAAAAATAATAACAATGAAATCTTGTTAACCAGACTAAATAACAGAAAACTATTTTTCCACCTAGATACAAAACGAAATCATACTGTACATACTGTTTTCTAGTCTTTTTTCTTTTTTGCTATCCACTAGGTTGTGAACATTTTTCATGTCATTAAATATTCTATATTGTTTTAGGTGACTTTCTACTTAATTTTTGAATAATTTTGCATTAAAATTCACAGAATATTCTTCAATTTTTTTATTATTGACTCGGTATGGTAAGTTAGGGGTTGATTTGTAATTTTTTTTTTTTTGCATTAAAACAAAAATTTTCTTTTTTTTTATTGTACTTCAGCTGAAGGCTTACAGAACAAATAGTTTCTCATGAAACAGTAGTACACATTGTAAAACAAAAATTTTTAATGTAATTTTTAAGAATACTCGTTTGGCCAGAAGTTGTGGATGATTTCTTTCAAAGATCTTCTTTAACATTTTAAGTTGAGAATTTATAGGAATTAACATTTTTATAGTATTTATACTCATTTTTATTCAGTGCATTCTTACAGGGTAGTGTTAATAAATGGTAACTGTTTAGAAATTAATGTTTAAGGAATGAAAATTTATTAAAATTTAAGGGTGTGTTACAATAGAAGTAAGTTAGGGATGGGGAGTGTTCTAAAATTATTCCACATATAGTAATTGTGTATGGTAAAGATTACTGTGTATAGTAAAGATTATTCTTTATTCTTTACATCTTTCCCCTTCCTTTTAGGAACTTTAATGGAATTGGGTATCTCCCCAATTGTAACATCTGGTTTGATTATGCAGTTGTTAGCTGGAGCCAAAATCATTGAAGTTGGAGATACACCCAAAGATAGAGCTCTATTCAATGGAGCCCAGAAACGTGAGCATTAAATTGTATACAATTAAAGAGGCCTTTCCAGATTTAAGAATGTTTACAATAAAGATTTTTTTTCTTTCTTTCTTTTTTTAATTATTTACTTTTTGTTGTTGAGAATATACACAGCAGAACATACACCAATTCAGTTTCTACATGTACAAATTCAGTGACATTGATTACAGTCTTCGAGTTGTGCAAACAACCTCGCCTTCCTTTTCTTAGTTTTCCTCCCCCATTAACATAAACTCACTGCCCCTTAAGTTTCCTATCTAATCTTTCAAGTTGCTGTTGTCAGTTTGATCTTATATTGATACATCTTAAAAGAGCATAAAGCTCAAGGGTAAAGATGTTTTTCTGTAGCTTTTTTTGTCTTTGGTTGTAAGCATGTACTCCTTTTTCCCCCCTAATTTTTGTCAGTATTTGGTATGATTATTACAATTGGGCAAGCCATTGTGTATGTCATGACTGGCATGTACGGGGATCCTGCTGAAATGGGTGCTGGAATCTGTCTCCTTATCATTATTCAGGTAAGAAATTATATTTCTTCATATCAGATAACAAAACAATTTGTTCCTTTTTTTCCTAACAACTCTTTAAGTAACTGATGTATTCATTTTATTATTTTTGAATTATTTGACTTAATTATAACATTTTGATTATTAAAGTGACATAAATTGTGTTGATGTAAATAAGAATTTATTTGAATAGCCTCGTGGCTATGTAATACAGAGAATTATGGATATTTCATTGATTCTGAGATGCACATTTTTCACATTTTGATGTCTCTGAAATCAGGATGTTTTCTTACAGTTGATACTGTCTTACTATCACTGTCAATCAGATGCAGTTATGGCATATTTTTCATTGCCTGTGCATGTGTGTCAGCTTGGTCATAGTTGTTGCTATTGTCGTTACATCACTTGTGCACTGCTGGTACAACATGTATCGAGTTTAATTTCTGTTGAAGATGTCTTCAAAAGAGTCTGCTGTGATTTGTTACTGAAATGACACATTGTTGTGGATACAGAAAGGCACAGAAACAGTGCAGCAAGCTTGATGATGAATGTCTGTCTAAATTTTTTTGTATGAGCAGAAAATAAAAATTCAGTGTAATAAGGTATTGTCATAATTTAATTGTAGTTTTTTTTCTTTTTGTGGTGGTGCACAGTGATGTTACAGACAATAGCATCTTAAAGTCAATGAAATACCAAATATACATATGTATATGTATTCTGTGAATTTTTTAAATGGATGCTTCGGAATGGAATTTTTCAAGGCCAACATAATTATCACTGTATTAAATACCTTACAATATGTAAAATTTGGAAGATATTTCTTTACTATATAATCCTTAAGAATTAGAGAGGTTACCCAGACTGGATTGTACTTAAGCTATATAATATTTATTGGATTTTGAAGAGATTTAAGTTAATAAATACTAGAGGGTGTAGAGTCCTGGTTATCTTGGAAATTTCTCTTTCTTGTTCATTGTATGAAATTAGGATTAATTTAGGATTTTTTTTTTTTTTGTAACAGTTGAAAGAAGAATTTTTTAAATAAAACGAAAATACACATATTGAGAAATATGACTGTCTCTGACTGGCGTGATTGGCCATTCTTTATAAGAAAACATATAGGGAGCAAATCGTAGTAAGGAGGATGTTTAGTAAGCATGATTCAGAATAAGGAAAGATAGTTTCAGAACAAGGGAAGTTAGATAGTTCAAGTACTAATTGGCATCATTAACAGTAGAGATGGCTTTTCTAATGAGATTACTTTGTCTTTTGACCAGGGCAGGAATTTTTAATGGGTTATCAGGGTCTTTGGTAGTTTTCAGAGCCCTGATGTGTTCCCATTTTAAGATAAGGTACGTTTCTTTAAGGAGCCCTGGTGGCACAGTGGTTAAGCGCTCAGCCACTAACCAAAAGGTCGGCAGTTCAAATCCACAAGGGGCTCTGCGGGAGAAAGATGTGGCAGTCTGCTTCTGCAAAGATGACAGCCTTGGAAACTTTATGCAGCAGTTCTACTCTGTCCTACAGGGTCGCTATGAGTCAGACTTGACAGCAAGGGGTTTACATTTCTTTAAAGAATGACATTGTCCTATTTTCCCATTTAACAAAACACTTGATGGGCCAATTTATATTGGAAATTAGAGGAAAAAGAGGTGCAACCGATTGGTATAGAAGATACTCTGATTTTAACATCTTTCAATGCTTAGGACTTTTTCGTATAACTTTTGGCATTGTTGAGGATACTAATAAACCAATTATTGCCTTATGTTTTGTTTCTTTATAGCATTTACTTTTATAACCTATATTTTAGAATAACCCTGATTTTTAAGACACTCAAAATTGGCATCTAGCTCTTAAAAACATTATGGATCAGTAAAAATTTTCTAGTATTTTAGTAAGGATATATTTACACTCTTAAAAAACCTCAACTGAGCAGTTCTCGGTTGAAGTATTGACTTCTTACAGAGATTTAAATGGCTATAAAATAGAGTTAAGCTGTTTTAATTTTTTTTTCAATATTAAGAAATCCAAGAATACTTGTATCCCAAGAATAAAACAAGGAAAGTGGATATGTGCTACTTTGTTTACATAAATTTTGATATACAAATATTTAATATTTTAATTTTGGTTAGTTATTCTAGTGTTAATGGATAAAGAAGCATGTCGTGTTTGATCGTAGGTTAGTAGTGACCCCATTGTGTTTTTTTGTAGCATTGTTAACGTTGAAAATACCTGGATAACCTGAATAGATGTGATTGGATTAGTGTTATTTTCACCTAGATAGGTTTTCAAAACTGTTTGCTTGCTATTATGTATAGATAGTATCTCTCACCTTAATTGTTGCTTCATTTACACGGCCAGTGTTTTCAGTGTTTTTCAACTAGTGAGTTTTAAAATCTAAATAGTGGGTCTTGAGTAACATTAAAAAAAAAGAATAGAAAATATCAGCATGCCTGGCACGTAGTAAAAGTAAGTACTGTTTTGTTAAACTAAGTTGTTTGTGTTGTGTGTACGTGTGTGCTGTGCATACACCTACGTGCATATACAAAGTTGAAATGTAAAGTGTTGTTTTTATACCCATGTTAGAGATTCATATATGCTGTATATTCTGCATGAACATGCAGTTAGTATTCTGTTCTTATCAGTGTTCTAGTCAGTGAGATGCTGTAACTGCCTGTTTCTCAAACCGTTTTCGTAGACATGCATCCTTTTTATTGTCCTTTACCTTATTCCCTTAATTATTGAAACCATTTCTCTTTTAGGTTTCTCTAATTCCCTTCTTCCATCAGGAGAGCATAAGACTTTGATTTTTACAGGATGTGTATGAATCACTAAATAATCTGACATTACTCTGAACAGGGGGTCTGGAGAATTCTAGTTGTTTCAGATGTGCCCATATGACTTTGGACAAGTCACTTAGTCAGAAGCCCGTGATGATACTTTTGGTTGGCTGATTGTTCACAGACAGCTATTATTCCCTACAGTGGGATGGCTTTCTGTATTTACAGTTGGAAGTATTTATTTACTCATTACATAATTGTGGTCAGAATAAAGTCAGCAAGTCCTAACTTCTCTGTTATTTTGTCAAAATGTCAAACTTGGTTTTTAAGCAGTGAGGGATCGGCATGAGCTCTCTTAATTGAGAATTGTACCCTTTTCCAGTCCATTGAGAGTCAAGCAAAAAGACTAAGTAGACAAGTTAGGCTCTGTACAACCATTGAAATGACAGAGAAGGAGAAAAAAAACAAACCAAAACAAAACACTATGTAAGGTAAGCATGCTTAGAATGGTATAATGTAGTTAGTTTGCTCTCTCTTCTAACAGGTGATATTGGGTAAAGTGAGTAAATAATGAGGGTGGGAGACTTGAGAGCTGGGAGGAATGGAAGTGGCATTTCCTAGCTTCAGTAGGAGGGTGTCTTTAAAGTGGGGACATGTGGGAGATTGGGGGCATAGAAGCATATTTTCTTCCCCTTTTGATTAGGTTACTGAAGTGCGGGGAAGGAGTCATATGACTGAGGAGGTCACTTGCAAGGCTATGGATTGTTTTTAATTGATGCATGCTTTTACAGAAATGTCTTCTCCAAGAAGAAAATTAAGAATTTTCAATATCGTAAATTAAAGTTAGTATGCTTTTTTTTTTTTTAATTATGAGTTTAAGAACCTGGTAAACTCGTAACTCTTCAAGTTTACATTTAGTCCTTGTCACTATATGTATAGAATGCATTTTTACATTGTTATAATCTTTGTACACATTAATTTGTGTTTTCCTTTTTGATCTATATATGTTATACTTTAAAAAATGTATCTAGTTCACTTATTTGTTCTTTAATGGCAGTACACAATTACATCATATTATTATACCATAGTTCATTTGGCCTTTCACTTACTTGGAGGTACTTGGAATGTTTTCAGATTCTTGCTATCATAAATTCTACAGTCATGAACATTTTTTGTTTTAGGTGCTTTTTAAAGGTCTTTATTTAAACATTGTAAGGGATGCTATTCAGATGGTGTACAAATATACTTTAAAAGTTGAAATGTCTGCTTTATAATGTAACACTATTTTCAATCCCCTGATTTTCAGAATTGGCTTCTCTCTAAACTAAAGCAGGTTAAAAAATACAGATAGTCATAATAGTGATATTAGATTTTAATGTTAAAAATGCCCATACTTTGAAAATAGTCAATGGTGTTCATCTTCCCCCTTTCTTGAATTTATTCTTGCTTCAGCTTACTTGCCTTTCTTTCCCCACAGTTGTTTGTTGCTGGTTTGATTGTGCTGCTGTTAGATGAGCTGCTACAGAAGGGTTACGGCTTGGGGTCTGGTATTTCCCTCTTTATTGCCACGAACATCTGTGAAACCATTGTCTGGAAGGCCTTTAGTCCCACTACCATTAACACTGGCAGAGGTACATTGCGTAGTGACTGCAACTGCATGAGTTTGCTGGATGTATGCTGAAAACTAATACATAGTATACAGTACATGCCTCTAGATATGCTGATTTGCTATCCCAGGGAACAACTAATGCTAACTGCTCAAAAGTTAATAAGCAGAGATTTGTGGAGTATGAAATAATACTTAAAAAAAAAAAATCTGAATTTCAGCCTTTGCTCATTTAAAACTTCAGTGGTTGCAAACAGATATTTAAAATTTTGTTTGTTAACCTTGCTTAAGCCGTTGCTGCATAAGTCATTTATTTGACCAATTTCAACATTCCTAGGATAAATAAACTGTTGGATTTAGATTTTTTAGATGAAAAACTTTTATCATCAAGGAAGACTAATACTTTGCTTCTATTCTACTTGGCTTTGTAATAGCGCCAGAATTTTGAAATATTCTGTCTTTCCCCTTACCCATCTCCACTTCTCTCAAATGCCATCCTATATTCTTTTTGGTTAACGTGTAAACTTTGATTCCAACCTTAAGAAAATAGCAATGATGGCTTATTAATGTTCTTGATAAAATAAACTTAAAGACAAGCTTGATAGAGCAACGTGTATCTTTCGATTCTGACGTCTTCATTTGCTTTGCTGCTGCTGCTGCTCCCCTCCCCTCCCCCCCAAAAAATACTGTCTTTCCTTCCTTAAAGTAAACAAGAGGCGAATCTTTATGAACTAAATATTTGCTTTGGTTTATTCTACTTTGGCTATTTTCATCAAGAATAGTCCCTTGAGAAAACTTCAGGTTTTATGCTAAAGAAAGCTGCATTTGCCTGAATGATTAATTATTTTTAGAACCTCCACACATGGCTGTTCATAAAATAAACATTGACGAATTATTTTGACTCATATTTTCAACTGTACGCTGGAGTAACAAGGTTATTTGTTTTGACCTTTGGGAGAACTTTGGATGATGAATCCACAGTTAATTTCTATCTTGATTTATCAGGTACCGAGTTTGAGGGTGCAGTCATAGCTCTGTTTCACTTATTGGCCACCAGAACAGACAAAGTTCGAGCTTTAAGGGAGGCTTTCTACCGTCAGAATTTACCCAATCTCATGAACCTCATTGCTACAGTTTTTGTGTTTGCTGTTGTTATATATTTTCAGGTAAGCATAATCTCTTCACTGAAGTAAGGGGGTTTTGGGTTTTGTTTTGCTCTTAAGTAGAATGTCATGAAATGTTAGTGTCTAACAAGTCAGTGTTTCAAAATCTAGTCATGCAAATAATTCCATTCTTTAGACTCTAAGGTGCAAAAATATTAGTAGCTATGAAATAGAAAAAGATTTTAAAGTCTATTTGCAAGAGGAAATTTTTTTGTTAGCATAGTCCTTTCATATTCCCTGAATTTACTTGTTTTGCCTCTCTTTTCTTGATATGTATATTTTCTTTTACTCTTAATTTTTGTATTTTAGGGATTTCGAGTTGACTTGCCCATTAAGTCGGCCCGGTATCGAGGACAGTACAGTAGCTATCCCATCAAGCTCTTCTACACCTCCAACATTCCCATTATTCTGCAGTCTGCCTTAGTTTCAAACCTGTACGTTATTTCCCAGATGCTGTCCGTTCGATTTAGTGGCAACTTCTTAGTGAATTTACTAGGACAGTGGGCTGTGAGTATTTTGTTATTTATATTAAGTATTTAAAATGTATTATAATTTGCATTTCATGGTTATATTTTTACCTGAAAGAGATGAGGCATAATTGATGCAGTTGCTCTAACATTTTGAGATTCTCTTACCTATAGTAGGATTTATTATATATCTGAAAGAATTGGTGAGTGTTGTAAAACTAAGATCCGTTAAGTATTTTTTATTATTTTACTGTCTAGGAAGCATTTTTCCATCATATTTTATTTTTATTTCATTTTTAGGCTGAAGTCATAATTATTCTCATAAAAATAATCTCCTATTTTGTAATCTTATTTCACTATTTTCCACAATAATAAGATTTCATTCATGTATTGTTTTAAAGCTATTTGCTGATAATATGGAGGATAACTGGAATTAGCCTTTCCTCTCACTCCCCCTGTCACCCACCCTTGTCATGGCCAGAATGGCAATAAATTAGCTTGTGATTAACTGGACTGGAGAGAGGCATGTAATTAACTAGACCGAAGAGAGAGCAGTGTTGCTAGAAATAGAATCCAGTAAATTCTTATTTCCTTTTATAGATTCTCTTCATTGTAGCTTCTTCTGAAGCATTCCAGCCATATTGTTACTGAAGTCTGTGTTATTGTAGAATTGATTTTGATTGGTTTTAATTCTGTCATCTGACATAGAGTATTTTTCCCCCGTAAAGCTGTAGAATTATAATGTCACTTATTCCTTAGCAGAGTATTAATTCTGGAATTGGCATTTTTACCAAAGAATAGTAACTTTTTTTTTTTTTTTTAAACAATCATTAGTCTTGAAATACGATGCTTGTTCTATTCATTTATGGTAATTAATAAGCTGTCTTTGGCATTGTAAATTATAGTGACTCATGTCTTTCTCCTTTTACTGAAGGTCTTCTTTTTTTCTTTCCAACTTAAAGTTTAACAGAATAAGACAGTAACTCTTGAATGTTAATTGAAGGAGATATGATTCCTTTTATCCAAAATACTCCTTTCCCGTTTATTTAACAGATACTTGATTACCTGTTGTATTCCGGTCATTATAACTAGAAGGGGATGCAGAGGAGAATAAGGATTCTGTTCCTCCCCTCATGAGCTAACAGTCTAGCAAGAGATGCTTTTCATAGTAATGAATGCATTGAGTGGTTAGTTCTGTGTAGATTGTATTGTGATCTTCAGGTTTTTTTAATGAGAGACTTACTGGGAAATTGAATTTGTCTATAAACAGTGCTTTTGATCTGGGATTAATGATTCTGGGGCATAATAATCATTTGGAAATCATAAATTCAAAAACTAGATATTTTAATCATTCTGAGTAAACATTGCTTTCCCATCCCCTAGACCCCACAACTTTATTTAATATGAGCAAATACATGCTATTCCCATTTATATTGTAAAAATTGATAAAAATCCCATTATTACAAATACTCATTAAAGATTATGCCTTATAATAGTATTTAAACCATGTAAAATTTAGGCAATAAATTTTTTGTCTTCTGTCAATATTTCAATTGATTGCATTGTTTATTTTTATTTTTGGTGAAAATACATGTAACAAAACATACACGAACCAATTCAACAATTTTTACTTGTACAATTCAGTGACATTGGTTACATTCTTCAAGTTATGTCAGCTCCCTCAATATCCTTTTCCAAATTAATTTCACCATCATTAACACAGTGATTGCATTATTAATATTTTCAAATAGAAGAATCATGCATATGGGTTTTAATTTGTTGGATACTTTTATGTAGATCAGAAAATTTCAGATTCTAAATGTAATTTTGATTGTAAATGTTATTCATATCCCTGTCTTTGGGAAGTGAAGATCTTGTAGATATAATGGTGTTTGTTTTTTGAAATAGCTTTTCTGTTAATAATATATTCATAGTGTCTTACACGTAATAGATGGTCACTGTGATTTTGAGGAGCCCTGGTGGCACAGTCGTTAAGAGCTCGGCTGCTAACCAAAAGGTCAGCAGTTTGACTCCACCAGCCGCTCCTTGGAAACCCTATGGGGCATTTCTACTCTGTCCTGTAGGATCGCTGTGAGTCAGAATCGACTCGACGGTCGCGGCTTTTGGGTTTTTATGTGATCTTTGAAGGGGTGATTTTGAAGATACTAGAGGCAAAAGTAAATTCTTATGGAATCATTAGCTACAGGTTTCTGAGCTTAAAACAGGGCCATAATTTTTGAGAAATTTGAGAAGTCTAAAGATGTAGGCTTGACCATTAGGTTGATTTGTCTTTTTTGTTCTTGGTCTGTAGGATGTCAGTGGAGGAGGACCTGCTCGCTCTTACCCAGTTGGAGGCCTTTGTTATTATCTTTCTCCACCCGAGTCCATGGGTGCCATATTTGAGGATCCTGTCCATGTAGTTGTTTATATCATCTTCATGTTGGGATCATGTGCATTCTTTTCTAAGACATGGATAGAAGTGTCTGGTTCCTCTGCCAAAGATGTAAGTATTTGGTTTATTTGGGGTGAAAAAAAAATTGGAGACTGGGGAGAAACATAATTTTTAGATGTCAAAATAGTAATTGATACACTCTTTTAATTATTTTGTAATGTAAACTTTAACTCTCACATTTTTAGTGGGGCAGTGTCACACTCCTGGGGCAAAAATTAGTTCTTAGACACAATAGAGAGTCCCTGATGGAGCAGGAGAAAGGTGGGGGTACAGAACTGAGATTCTAGTAAAAAGACCAGACTTAATGGTCTGATTGAGACTGGAGGAACCCTAGAAAGCATGGCCCCCGGACTCTCTGTCAACCCAGAACTAAAACAATTCCCGAGGCCAACTCTTCAAAGATTAGACTGGACTGTGGGACCTAAAATGACACTCGGGAGGAGTGTGTCTCTTAGCTAAAGTAGATAATGAGACTAAATGGGCAGCTCCTGTCTGGAAGTGAGATGATAAGGTAGAGAGAGGGTCAGGAGCTGGTTGAATGGACATGGGGAGTCAAGGAGGAGGGTGCTGTCAAAGTACAGGGAGAGCAATTAGGTCACATAACAATGTATGTATAAATTTTTGTATGAGAGACTAACTTAAAATGTAAACTTTCACTTAAACCACAACAGTTGAGAAAAAAGAAATTAGTTCTTAGAGGATGAAAATATTACAGTGTTTTTTAGCTCTCCAAAGCTCAGCCCTATGCAACAAAATCTTACTCCTTCGTTGTTTAATTTTTCAAGTTAGGGAGATGATAATGAAACAAAGTTAAGAAACACTGGTGTAATTGTATAGTTTTGCAGCATTGTATCCTGTTTCCTCAGGCTTAAGACGGGAGTATTTTATTTGGTAGTGTGTGGAAAGCACTTCTCACAGAACCTTATAGTTAACAGAGAAATGTTAGAGTTTTATTTTAAAAGTTGTTTTTCTCTTGGCAGGTAGCTAAACAGCTTAAAGAGCAGCAAATGGTAATGAGGGGTCACAGGGATACCTCTATGGTTCATGAGCTTAATAGGTAAGGTTTTTAGATTTAATCCTTTATAGGTGAGAGAGAGCAAGTGCGTGTGTGTATACATACATACTTGCTCTTTCAATCTCTTTAATTTATCCCTAAGTGTTATTCTTCATTTGTTCAAATTCATATTTAAAGCATTTTTATACTTCACAAGAGAAAGAACGAAAATTTAACACAAAACTTGTTATCCACATCAAAATTGACATCTAAACTGTTATGTTAGTTGCAGCTATGTTCCATTCATTGCTCAGCATAGGTTTAAAATGTGGTTCTCAATGCTGACTGGCTGCACATAGAGTCACCATGAAGCTTTTAAAAAATACTGATACCCAGTTTCAGGAATTGGATTTAGTTGGTTTGGCATGGGTCCCAGGCATCAGGTTTTCACCCATTTGAAGTATACAGTTCAGTGATTTTTAGTATATTCAGAGTTGTGCAGTCATTACAATCTAATTTTAAAACATCTTCATTACCTCCAAAAGAAACTATCTTAGTTATTTAGTACTGCTGTAACAGAAATACCACAAGTGAATGGCTTTAACAAAGAGAAATTTACTCTGTCATAGTTGAGGTGGCTGGAAGTCAGAATTCACGGTGCCAACTCCAGGGGAAGGCTTTTTCTCTCTATTGGTTGTGGGGGAAGGCCCTTGTCATCAGTCTCCCCTTGGTCGAGGAGCTTCTCAATGTAGGGACTCTGGGTCCAAAGGATGCACTTTGCTCCTGGCACTGCTTTCTGGTGGTATGAGGTCCCTTGACTCTCTGCTTCTGTCTTTTATACCTCAAAAGAGATTGATTTAAGATACAATCTAATCTTGTAGATTAAGTCCTGCCTTATTAACGTAACTGCCTCTAATCCTCCCTCATCAACATCATAGAGGCAGGATTTACAGTACATAGGAAAGTCACATCAGATGACAAAATGGTGGACAATCACACAGTACTGGGAACCATGGCTAGCCAAGTTGATACACATTTTTGGGGGACACAGTTCAATCCATAACAGAAATCCTGTACCCGTTTGCAGCTATTTCCCATTCCTGCCCTACCCTCCTACCCCCTTGCTCTACGAAACCACTTGTCTACTTTCTCCTTATAGATTTGCCTATTCCAGATTTCATATAAATGAGAATCATAAAACTTGCTATTTTTTGTAAATGACTTCTTAGCATGTTTTCAGAGTTCATCCATGGTTGCAGCATGTATCAAAACTTCATACCTTCTTATGGCTGAGTAACATCCCAGTGTGTAGATATACCACTTTTTATCTGTTCATCAGTGGATAGAAATTGGGGTTGTTTCCATTTTTTGGCTATTATGAGTAATGCTGTTATGAATACACGTGTACAAGTTTTGTATGGATGTGTTTTCATCGCTAGGAGCAGAAGTGTTGGGTCATGTAATAACTGTTTAACATCTTAAACTTTCCAAAGTGGCTTCATCATTTACATTCCTAATAGCAATGATGGAGGGTTCCAGTTGCTACATATTCTCACCCACACTGGTTATTGTCTTTATTTTAGCCATCCTAATGGGTGTGGAGTGGCATCTCATTGTGGTTTTGATGTGCTTTTTCCTGATGACTAATGATGTGGAGCATCTTTTCATGTGTCTATTGGCCGTTTTTGTATCTTCTTTGGAGAAACCTCTATTCAGATACTTAGCCCATTTTTTAATTGGGTTGTTATTGAGTTGTAAGAATTTTTTTAAATGTATTTTAGATAGAAGTCCTTTATCAGATATGTGAGTTGCAAACGTTTTTTCCCGTTCCATGGGTTGGCTTTTTTACTTTTTTGATGGTGTCCTTTAAGTGTTTAATATTGAGAAAGTCCAATTTATTTTTTCTCTGGTTGCTTATGCTGCTTTGGGTATTGTATCTAAGAAGCCATTGTCTAGCTTAGAGTAACAAAAATTTATTCTTGTTTTAGTCTACGAGTTTTATAGTTTCCATTCTGCATTTGGGTCTGTGATCTAAATGTTCTAGTTAATTTTTGTGTTTAGTGTGAGGTAGTGGTCTAAATTCATTCTTTTGCGTGTGGATACCCAGTTGTCTCAGCACCATTTGTTGTAAAGGCGTCAGTATTTTTATTTATTTAGAAATAGAATCCATATACCCAACAATATTCAGTCTTAGTTATTACCGTCATCCTGCCATTTGTGTTCATCTACCATCTACGATCTGCATTGCTGTTTTATTTGGGGGGGGGGTGGTTTGGGGTATTTTTTTTTTTAAAACCTCATTTTTAACAGTTACTCAGATGATTCTATCGTGCAGCTAAGGTTAAATTACTATTGAAGCATATCATAAAAATCTTGCCACATGAATTTATATATTTAGTAAGCATTTTGAAATTTACTCCTTTGTTCCACAAGAGGGAGCTGAAGGTTACTTATTTTAAAATGGTGAACATTTTAGTACTTAAATATAAATCTTGAGGATTCTTATCTTTTGCCCTAAGAATCACATATTGTCTTTCTTGGCGAGTCAGAATCATTGTCATAATCATGAAGTTTTCATTCACATGTAATTTTTTATGTACAGTCTTATCAATACTGCAGACTTGATCCTTTTTTGATTAGTTTAATTCTGCTTTAGAGAGAACCATTGTTGACAGAGCTTTGGCATATTATTGGTTCTAACTGTTGTTGCTTTTTATATATTCCAGCACTGACTGAGGATTTTTGTCTTCTAGGTACATCCCCACAGCAGCTGCATTTGGTGGTTTATGCATTGGAGCCCTGTCGGTGTTAGCCGATTTCCTAGGGGCCATTGGATCTGGCACTGGAATTCTGCTTGCAGTCACCATTATTTATCAGTATTTTGAAATATTTGTTAAGGAGCAGGCTGAAGTTGGCGGGATGGGTGCTTTGTTTTTCTAAATGTTCAAATATTTCTGTGTGTGAAAGGGAAAATATTTTGACACATTGTTTTTGTCAAATAATGCTGGTTCCCATTTTCTTCCCTCTCAGTTTTTTCTTTTCAAGTGCTAACTGCTCCATTTCTGAAATGGGCACTAAGCTAAGCCTGTGTGCAGCATTAGTACCAGCTGCCTTAAAACTAAAGTTTACATTATTTGTTCAAAATGTACATCTAGTGTTGCCTGTAATGCTGGAAACCAGTGTATCTACCTTGCTGTGTTAAATCACGACAGTGAGATGGTAACATGGATTGTTAGTTTTGCACACAACATTCAGAACACTTAATATTCCCCCACTGGTTTAAAAATAAATGTAGTTCAAATTGCCTCTTTCCAGTATTTTTGAGCTTATTTACTGAGTTCTGGAACATTTATATCTAATCTCTATTTTAGATAATTACTTTTTATACTTTTTTAACTCATAGTATCCACATTCCCTCCCCTCCTTATACCCCTTTTCCCACCCTTTTTATTTGGCCCTTCTCAAAGCAGCCACTTAGCCCATATGGGCAAAGTTAAGGTTGAGTGATGTCACTTGAAAAAACTGCTTGTAGTTACTGTTTTTCATTTTTCCTTTCTTCCCGGTGACAGCATAAACAGTGCTGTTTGACTGTATTGGCTATGCCTTCTAATTCCAGCAAGTCACTTGAGAATACTCTTTCAAGATATTATGCCCCAATTCTTTTTTTTTTTTTAACCCCTAAATAAAAGATCTAATTCTCAAGCAGTGTCTGTAGTTCAGTGGGGGTGAACAATGAGTAATTCATGCTAGGAATCTGTGTATGTTGTTGTACTTTATAGCAGCAACAAGAGTGTAAACAGTAGACAATAAACTTTTATTTAAGAAAATTGTTTCAGTTGTGTTTGAAAAATAAAGAAATCTGATATTAAATGTTTTCTAAGATTATTTGTATATGTTCATTGTATTTATACAGAATCTATCCTGAGGTCAAGTGTAATTACAGTTTAACATTTTCCTAAAATATTGAGGGATCGTGACTAATTTAACAATTCTCAATAATGTGACTAACAAACATTTGGGAAGAAACAGGAAAACCATGGTCTCATGAAAATAATATTCTAGTCTTCGTTTGAAATGCACAGTTCTTTGCAAATCCTTTTTAAAAGTATGCTTTATTTTACAAAAAAAAAAAAAAGACAATTTTTAAAAGATCCTTTTCAGTAAGATAGGAAGTACGTCTTGTTTAGCTTAATGTCACAAGCCCAAATATTGTAGGTGCAAAGCAGGTCAGATAAAGGCCGGCAGGATAGTAATGGTCAACGGGGGAACATCTAAGGGTCTCAGACCATTGTTACCAGAGAAATGTGGACCCAGTGTTACTACCTCTGATTTCTTTTTTTTTTCCCCAAGAGAAGTTGGAAATCTGTCTTTTTATATGAAATCTTCACTTTCGAAATGTTGGCAAATAAACTTTTATTAAACAGTCCCAGTAAAAACAGTGCCAGTGAAAACATCCAGTCTGCCAGTTCTAAAGCTTTAATTTCCAAAGCACAGCATTTTGATGTTTATAAATAATATAAATGGCATTAGGGCTGTGTTCTAGGATATAGCTGTCGCTTCTAAATTGCACGCTCAGGAAAAGAGAAAGGTTAAGGTTACAAAAAGAACAAAGGTCATCCTGTATTGAGGCAGATGGTAGAAGAGGCATACTTCTCTGTCGCCTTCCAGTGTAGAGAAAGATGGACCTAATCACCAGAACAAAATGTTGCTCCTCTGTCTGCATTTAAGAGGTTTCTCACGCCCATGGGGAGTGGCTTTGGAAGGGGGCTGTTTGGAAAGGCTGCTCTGTGCCAGTCTTTATGCCTTATCTCTTGATTTTGAAGTAGGATAATGACAAGGGAAATTACAGAGCTTAGTCCCTGAGAGCTCAGGGAAAAGGATTAAGGTCTTCGGAGAATTATGATACCCATGATTAGAAATAAAGTTTTAGAAAGGGTTACAGACACGGGAAGGCTGCTGTTGTTACAGCAAGTTGTCGGGGCTTAGTTTTCGTATTTACAGGGAGAGTGGATTTGAATTGATCTATTAGGTTCTATAATTCTTTCCATCCTTAAGAAGTCCAATATGACCTTGTATTTTTATTCATAAAAATATTTGTTAAGATGGTGAACCTGTAGACAAATGAACTAACTGGCAGCAGTTTTGGCATTAGTACCCTGTTTTTATCTGGAGAACCACTTTTATATTCTGAGGGGCCTGACTTAACCCCTGGATTTAGGGCTAGAAACACGATAGGGCTGGCCAATGAGAATCATCCTGAGACTTCTGTTGGAGTTATCAGGAGGAGAGCTAAACTGAAAAGACAATAATCCTGGAGCTACTAAAGGCCATAAAAGTTAACACAAGAGGAGAGCTTCATCAACAGATTGACTCAATGACCAGTAATACTGATAGAACCTTTGGATGACGGGCTTCAGGCGTAGCATGAGCCAGAAACAATCCATTTTTCCCTTTAAGATAGTTTGTACTGGCACTTTGAGGGACAGAGTAGCAGGGGCAGAGGTCTGGGGACTATGCTTTCAGGGGACATCTAGGTCAACTGGCATAATAGTTTATTAAGAAAATGTTTGGCATCCTACTTTGGTGACTGGCGTCTGGGGTCTTAAAAGCTAGCAAGCAGCCATCTAAGATGCATCAATTGGTCCCAACCCACCTGCAATAAAGGAGAATGGAGAACACCAAAGACACAATCAGCCCAAGAGACACAAAGGGCCACATAAACCAGAGACTCTATCAGCCTGAGACCAGAAGAACTAGATGGTGCCTGGCCACCACCAATGACCTCCGTGCCAGGGAACACAACAAAGTCCCTGATGGAGCAGGAGAAAGGTGGGGTGCAGAACTCACATTTTCGTAGAAAGACCAGACTTAATGGTCTGAGACTGGAGGAACCTCAGAAAGCATGGCCCCTGGACTCTCTGTCAACCCAGAACTAAAACCAACTCTTCAAAGATTAGACTGGACTAGGGGACATAAAATGATACTCGTGAAAAGTGTGCTTCTTAGCTCAAGTACATGAGTCTAAATGGGTACCTCCTGTCTGCAGGTGAGGTGAGAAGGCAGAGAGGGTCAGAAGCTGGCTTAATGGACAAGGGAAATCAGGTGGAAAGGAGGAGTGTGCTGTCACAGTATAGGGAGAGCAATTAAGGTCACATAACAATGTATAAATTTTTGTATGAGAGACTAACTTAAATTGTAAACCTTCACTTAAAGTACAATAATAAAATTTTAAAAAGAAAAGAAAAAGTTAGTATCAGGTTTCTGGTACTTGGAAACCTTGCTGGCTACACTCATGGTTTAACACCAAGACAGTAATGGCCAAAGCCATATAAATTTTATTATTTAATCGATTTCATTTTTGGAAACTTCAAGTACTTTTTGAGGTAGGGACAGAAAATCAAGATTCTAAACGTATGTGCACATGCTTAAGGTAAGGGCCTATATTTTCATTAGTCTTTTAGTATCGTGACTGGAATTGACCATTTTTTCATTACATAAAAGCTGATTCAGCTTCAGTAATTAGGTATAAATAACTGCTTATCAAGAATGTTACTCTATTGATTTTCTATCTTCTGTTACCCAGTTGAACTGCATACAGCAAATAGTTCAATTAGGACAGGCCAAGAAAATCTGTATATAGGTTTGTTTTTTTTTAAATTAAACACTAGTGCAGTAAATAGTTATCTGCATATCCTGTTATAGAATTTTATATTTGGGGCTGAGTGTTAGAATAGTTGACCTCATTTGGAATTTATGTCTATTTTCCTATAGAAATACCTTGTGTCTAGGGCTAGATTAGAAGAGTAACAGTTTTGTTTTTTAATTAGGAGGAAATATATCTGCATTTATGTTCTTTTTCATTAACATTTGGCTGGAGTTTAACAATTTCAAATGAAGGTGACAGCCTACCCGTAATCACAATTCCATACCACCACATGCATTCTCTGTTGCTTTTATTTTATGAAAAAGCTAATTTCATAACTGCATTAAACCATGTTGAATACAAAGTCTTAGTGAAGAAGGCCTGGTGGGCTTGTTTACAAAAACATATGTCTGGTATCCTTTTTGGCCTTAAAATTTCAGGAAGGGCACTTCAAATGGCTTAGTATTTGCATGTTTCAACGCCAGAGCATAGGAATAGACTTTGGCATCCACTGTTAGGTGTTCTTCAGCTACTAGAGCTACAGGAAGCAAAGAATAAAAGTTAGATAATGCAATTAACAGAGGATAATACCCTTTTTATCATTCAATCAATATCTACAGAGCAAAGTTCCTATGCGAGATGCTGGTGATATCAGCAGTCAACAGGACATTTTCTGCCAAGGATCTTAATCTGGTGGTGGAATAAAGGATATAAAAGTGAGATTTCAGTCCCAGCATGAGACAAGAACAAGAAGAAAAAAAAAACAAGATTAAAGACAAGGGCACATATTTATCAGAGACAATGATTTCACTTTTTAAAACAGCAAAGCCTTTAAGTTTATAGATCCAATTGCTATACCTTCGTAGTTCACTGTAATGCTCTGTTACTCTGAAACTAAATGGTTATACAATATCTTACTTAGGGATTTATGTGTCTTTTCCACTGGCAGGGAATACGCATTTTCTCCATGCAAGTTAAAACTGTGTGTATGGTAGGACTGAAATTATACTACCAAGAATGAGGCCTCAGACTCTTATTACAAAAGATGGAGGTTGTCAGACTTCTGTCTGTAGTTTTCCTAGCTACTTGTTGAGAACACGCTGAGACATTTTGATCCTTGAAGGCATGGATCAGGTACTACTCATCATGCATGGCAGATGCTGAGTTGTGTCCAATGCTTTTTATAGCAAACCAAACTTAAAATATTTTCCTCACAACTTCTCAAACGTTACTTGTTGAATAAATGATTTGATTACTATATTCTGATTCTAGTAAAGCTAGGCAAACTGTGCTTTTATCCCTCTCTCTTTATATATCTCTCTCCCCCTTCCTTCCTTTCTCTCTACCTCCAGCTCTCTCCATTTTCCCCCTCTTCTAAGACCAGAAAGGAAGTTAGGTGGAAGGGAGAAGAAAAAGCTTCTATAAAAGGATACTCTTCTAATACAGAAAAATAATATAAACACATGGCATATAGCCCAGCCACCACCAATGACTGCCCTGACAGGGAACACAACAGAGAGCTCCTGATGGAGCAGGAGAAAAGCAGGGTACAGAACTCAAATTCTAGTAAAAAGACCAGACTTAATGGTCTGAGACTGGAGGGACCCCAGAAGACGTGGCCCCCGGACTCTGTTAGCCCAGAATTGAAACCATTCCCGAAGCCAACTCTTTAGACATAGAATAGACTGGACTATGGGATATAAAATGATACTTGTGTGGAGAGTGCTTCTTAGCTCAAGTAGATACACAAGACTAAATGGGCAGCTCCTGTCCGGAGGTGAGATGAGAAGGCAAAAAGGGGCAGGAGCTGGCTGAATGGACATGGGAAACCTGGAGTGTGCTGTCACATTATAGGGAGAGCAACTAGGGTGACATAGCAACGTGTGTATAAATTTTTGTATGAGAAACTAACTTGAACTGTAAACTTTTTCACTTAAAGCACAATTAAAATAAAAGAAAAAGAAAAAAAATATGGCATATAACATGTAAGCATTTGTGTTCCGAGTTGCTCTGCATACATTATCCCATTTAATTTTACTCGCACCTCGTCAGAGGTAGGAGCTATTATTGTTCTGTTTGATGAGAAAAGTTCAGAGAAGACTGGCTATTAACTAACCAATAACTAAGAACTAATCATGGTCAGCAAGCCTCAAACCCAGTGGGGCCTGTCAGACTCAAAGGTGTATTGTCTATTACAGATAGCCATGGCTTTCTCTGAATAAATGCCTAATTAATACAGTTAATAAAGGATAATAGCCCTTTATGGCAATCCTTCAGTGTTATTATTCTAACTCTGAGATCATGAGGTGGATTTTACCTTAGGTCTAGTTTTTAAAAAGATAAAGTAGGAATCGAAGCTATCTGGAAATCTATGTCTTCAGTATAGTATCTCCTCATGTGGTTGTATGGAGCTTTACAATCAAAGGACATCTGTCCACATACTTATTACTTTACAAAAGCCCTATGAGATGGGCTAGCCAGGCATTACACAATGTAACTACACGACCAGTGATTTACTAGCCACACAGCTAGTTAGTTTGGTTCATTATATCAGCATATCACACTTAGTATATAATAGATACCTCAAATATTTATTGAATGAATATTGTTAAATTCTTCTTTAACTGAAATCCTACACAAAGAACCATACAACATAATGGCATATTTGAGGAAAAGCTAAGAGATACCGTCTTATACCTTTGCATTGCTATGGATTACAGATTTAACCCTTTTGTGAACCAATTATTTTCTGCTTTGAATTTTTTGCTGATACCATGTGTTTTCATTAATGGAAGCATGCTGAATCATTCAGTGTGTATGAATTTTTGGTAGGTACTATGGATCTGGTAGGTACTATGGATTTTTTTTTCTTGCCCCCTCCTATAAGCCTACCCTAAGTGTTTAGTGATACATATAAAGTACCACTAATTATAGTCCCCACCGGGGTCTATTGGTACATATGTGTAACAACAATTTTCAAAATTTCTATTTTTCCTACCAAAAATTCTGACACCTCATACAATACCCTGTAAAAACAGTACTTTGCAGCATATTCCCATTTACTCAGGTTCAAAAAGTCATAAAGGCCCCTGCCTTGAGGCAGCATAACTTTCAGTGGTGCAGCAGCTTCCCAAAAAACTTTCAGAGGCAGAAAAAGTACTTGGTACCTAGAGGTACCTGTGAGCATGAAAGGGTTAAAGTATAGAATAGTTTTGGCCAGTCAGCAGGAGTGCATTCTTTTTTTTTTTTTTTAATTGTGCTTTAAGTGAAAGTTTACAGTTCCAGTTAGTTTCTCATACAAAAATTTATACACATATTGTTACGTGACCCTAATTGCTCTCCCTATACTGTGACAGCACACTCCTCCTTTCCACCCTAGATTTCCCGCGTCTATTCCACCAGCTCCTCACCCCTCTCTGCCTTCTCATTTTGCCTATGGGCAGAAGCTGCCCATTTAGTCTCATGTATCTACTTGAGCTAAGCAGCACACTCTTTACGAGTATCATTTTATGTCTTATAGTCCAGTCTAATCTTTGTCTGAAGAGTTGGCTTCAGGAATGATTTTAGTTTTGGGTTAACGGAGAGTCTGGGGGCCGTGTCTTCCAGGGTCCCTCCAGTCTCAGTCAGACCATTGAGTCTGGTCTTTTTAAGGAGTACATTCTTGAGCATTCTACAGGAAAAAAGCCCTTACTGCATAGAATGTTTTGCTCATAATTTCAAACTCTATGTCACCAACATCCAGGAAGGAAAATTAGTATCGATCCACTGCAGTTTTACAATAACTTCTAGGTATTTGACTAAAATGAAGAAGAATATAAAAGAAATGGAGTTATATTTAATACCCCATTCGCTGGGGCTGGGACAGGGAAAATACAGAAAGCTGGGTAACAATCTTAAGAGTGCTTACCATCAAGTCTCTTCAGCAGGTCATTCTTTGGTAAGGAAATTACTTCCACAAATTCTAAACAAACAAAGCGTAGGTGAAAACAGGGCCAAATAACAAGAGAGTCTACCAAAACAACCCAAAATGTCTAGCCATTACCACTACACTAAGCCATATATGTGGTCAGCCACTGGGAGTTGAATAGCATACCTCCATCCCCTGAAAATAAATAGAAGGAGAAAATTTTAGCAAGGCCAAGAGTGGTAAGACACTGAAAGATTTTTATACAAAACATACCAAAAGGCTATAGGAACTAAACAGAAACCTGGATCTCCACTAACAATTTATATACATAGTAAAAAAAAGAACCCAAACAGTACAAAGTTCTTCTTATTCTCCATTTAACAGCAAAATTTAAAGCGTATTCTGTAACATGCATATTTGCTAGTGTAAAAATTCAGCATTTAAAATGGGCTGCAATGTGATACTGAAACACAGATATGAACTAAAGATGGTGAGAAATTAAAGAATATCACTCATATGATTTACTGTGGTACATACAGTCACGCATCACTTAACATCCACAATACATTCTATGAAATAGGACGTTATGTGATTTGGACATTGTGTGAACATGCCTAAATAGTGAGCAATAGCATTCACTGATTTTCCACCTTTGTGTTGTTTAATAACTTTTTGTTTGACTTGCAAACGGATACTTCTCCTTTGACTCTCGTTGCTGCTATCACTAGCACTGGTTTTGCTACATTTGGGAGCCAAGATGCATTTCACCGGAATATTTTCCAAAGAAAATTAAACAGAGAGATAACACTGCAACACTTCAGATGCATGAGACTGGATGCTGCTGCCTACCAGTTGAAGCATACACTGTTATACAGTAAACTTTTTATTTATAAGTAGCAAAAGTTGGAACCCCTGGTGGCAAAGTGGTTAAGAGTTCAGCTGCTAACCAAAAGGTCAGCAGTTCAAATCCACCAGCCACTCCTTGGAGACCCTACGGGGCAGTTCTACTCTGTTCTATAGGATCACTGAGTCAAAACTGACTCGACAGCACCTAACAACAAGTACAGGGAAAGTTCACATTAAAATAACGATAGAAAGTACAGTACATACGTAAGCTAGTAACACAGGCATTTATTATGACTATCAAGACATACGTATTATAGGTTAAATATGTACTGTACCATTATATGCTTGGCAGTGCAATTGCTTTGTATATGAGTCACAAGATACACGTTGCATGCGGAAAGCTGCTGCATTCACTACACCCAGTTATGTCCACTCCACCCTGTTCTCTGATAGGGATTTCTGAACTCTATTATGACCTTATGGGACCACGGACATATATGCGATCGGACATTGCCTGAACGGATGTTATGCGACATGTGACTGTATATAAACACCCCTCTTTAAGGGGATGGGAGTTAAGGCATGGGATTGACAGAGGTATTACAGCTTTTGAATCCAAACTTCCTAAGAAATATTATAGAGCAAAGAATTTCCTAACAGCTTCTCTAAATACCAAACTCAATAGCAAATAGTTAATTAAGCTGCTCCCCCTTAACAATTAATTACAATGCTATTCTTGCAATACACGTGAAGACAGAAATCAGGGTGATTTTAAAGTTTCTCACTATTTCCTACTTAAGCCTATAGCTCATTATTACTAAATGGGAATGAACTCCATAGAAAATATGGAAATATATAATGTAACATTTTATATAAAGTACAACTATCAATGAAGTAGTAAAAGAAAAACGCTAAAATACACAAGTTTAAGAAAACAGCCAAGAATATTGGTGAAATGTCTATGAAAGGCTTCTATTCTTTTAACAAGTGGAAAACCAAACTAGTAGCAAGTTAAAAAATATTTAGTACAATTCGACCACCTTAAGCATAGCCAACACACACTTACCAGGCTTTGGCTTAGGTCTTACATTTTCAGCATCATCTCCATTAATGGTTACTGTCACGACGTGTACAGTACAGTTTGACAAACCTGGATCTACACACACAACTATGGAGAGAAGTAACAGATAACCTTAAAGGACACCAGTCAGATGCTTTCATTGCTTGTCATTTGTTTCAATCTTTAAATGTAATAAGGGCTCATAATTCATAGCTAGCACAGAATTTATGCACGAGAATTACAGCTTATTATATTCACTCAGTACAGGTTGTAGGACTGCAGAGCATATAAGTAGTAAGTATTCATATTTTTCCCAGAGTTCTGAAGTAAAGTTTGTTAACTCTGAAGGGTTACATGGTACTGACAATTTATAAAATCCTTTCACCATAACAAGAAAAAAAAAGAATCACAATCTTCTAGTGAGGAATTTGGCATGTGGATGAGCAGCTAGTAAATAATAAAGCTTAGAATGTGGGAAATTCTGAAAGGCAACTTAATTTCAATTCTTCTCCAACTTCAGGTCCTTCTTGTTCAAACATATTCTCACAAGGAAGTTCATTACAGATGGTGACCAATCCTAATCTATTACTTCTCTTCAGTGAATTAGCTGAAATAAAAGCCATCTGAGTTCTGACCATAAAGAACAGCTAAATAATCATTTCTTTTATACCTAGAAGAATCTACTACTGGGTTAACTTTCAAGAGTTTGTCCCCCCAGTACACAATTAGAAAGCAATACAAACCTGGAGAACATTCAGCAATGTCACCTTTATAACCAGTTTCTTCCTCAAGCTCCCGAAGAGCAGCTGCTTCTGGGCTCTCATTATCATCTATGAGACCTGGAAGTCCAAATCATTTGTAAGGTGGGATAGGAAAGTGCAATATTTTTTGAACCTCTCATTCTTCTAACATAGGTGCTGCTGAGCTACGTCCGAAGAATGAGAGGATTGTGAAAAGTAGTCTCACAGATAAAACTGAAAAGACTTGGAACTTTTCAGGAGAAGAAAAAAAAAAAGAGCAAAAAGAATAACACCCTAGGCTGATTAAGAAGGTTCTGATAGCTATCATCTGCTCTTCTTATTTAAAGATCTTAGTTTTTTTTTTCATGAGCATGTCAACACTAACATTTTGGTAGGGAATAGATAGCATTTATCTCCTGGGAAGATAAATAACTTGGTGGTGATTAAACGGCCTAGCTATGTGACTATGGAAACCCTGGTAGTGTAGAGGTTAAGAGCTATGGCTGCTAACCAAAAGGTTGGCAGTTCGAATCCACCAGGTGCTCCCTGGAAATCCTATGGGGCACTTCTATCCTGTCCTATAGAGTTGCTATGAGTTGGAATCGACTCAACGGCAACGGGTTATGTGACTATAGCACAGGAAGCCTGTAAACTTCTGTTTTCTCGTATGTAAGATAGTGATGGTATATTACATATCTTGCCTTCCTCCCTCCCAGAATAATGAGGCCTCACAGTGAAGTGCCAAGATGAATGTGTCACTTGCGAGGGAGAACAGAAAGGAGTGAACTGAAGGATGGTGGACTTTAGGTAACTGCTATGGTCATTGTGAGGACTAAGTTGAGAGAGAACAAGTGAAAGGAGAGCAGGGACTCAGGTTCTGTGTCCTGAAAGGAACAGAAAAATATAAATAAAAAGTAAAATACAGGCTATTTAGTTACTTTTAACAAATTAATTTATGCAAATTAATTTCTTCAATGATATGGCAAATGAGAAAGAAAAAAACTGTTAACTATGTGTTATGATGGAAGGACTTTAAAAGACACAAAACATAAACCATTACTAACAAATAAATAAGATTTAATCTCTTCAGACTGAGACAATCCAATAAAGTCCTATAATAATACAGCTTATTAAAAAATCTGGAGTTTTATACTTACTGTGCAAATAAAAAATCGTTCTAGTTGAAATTAGTTAAGACAATTTCCTTGGTCAGTTTACATATGTCTGATCAAGATGTTTTTTCTGTGTGTAGTGTGTGGTCTACTTATTACTGTAAATTACTTGTCAAGGGAAAACAGTGATAGAAAATGAAATAAGTTGACAAACTGTGGAAAAGCAACAAATTACTCCAAGAGAGGACAGAAGAATGTTGTGACGACGGTGGCATGGCTTGAAAAGTAAGCTGTAATACCATATCTTACTTCGTCTTCCTGGGTTTAGATATCACTAGAGCACGGCTATTGGCCTGAAGGAGGCTCTCTGCAGAAATGGCTTTATTTATGACCACACGGACAGATAAAATGGTGTTAAATGTCAAAGCACTGTAGTTTCCAGGCTTTGCCCTAGCTCTCTCCAGCAGTCCCTGAGAAGCGACTCTATCTCCTCTGTTTAGTTACTCACCTGTGGGGAATTCTATGCAGTAGCCACCAACTGGTGGTCGGAACTGTTTCACCAGAACAATACATTCATAATGAAGAGTTCTTTGCAGCACTGGGATAATTGCCACACCTGTCACCAGAAAAGGCAACCAAGGAAATCCATAATGAAAGATCAATGGTGCCAGTCATTTGTTTAGAGCACTCTAACAAACATCCTGTATTTTAAGAAGCCAAAACCTACCCTCTATTTGCCATTATAAGAAGTTAACTTAATCTACAATAAGGGCAGTTAACTTTGGAAGCTATTCTCAATTAATGAAAAAATAATCACACTTCCATGTTGTTTGAATTTTCTTTTTTTATTAAAAAGCTTGTTTTTGTTGCCACAATTTCTTTCAAATAAAATCAAAACTAAAGCTAAACATTCACCACAAGGTTAAGGATATAAAATTTCTATCTATACTAATCCCCGCATAGAACCATTTCTCATCATGTGGCTAGAGCATTTTTGAAGTCTTAGATTCCCTTAAAGCAATAAATCAAGTAAGTTTCACTGTTTGTAGTATACAGTAGCTAGACTGAATTTTATTTTATTTTTTTAGGATAAAAGACATTTTCTCCCAAGTTATTTGGCTTAATCAAAACAACAACAAAAACCACTGGGTTCCAGAAAACACAAAGCAGCCAAGAGGAGCACGTGGTTCCTCCTAAACATTTTTCATCAGTTAAAAACAGCAGCTGCAGCAGAGCAACTCTGTTTGCTTCAGTACAAACAGAAAATAAAGGAAAGTGAAAAAATAAAAGGGATGAAAAAAGACCTATTGCCCAACTTCCCCTAGACCAGAGGTGATTTTCAGGATTGTTTCTGGGATCTTTGCAGTCAAACCATTCATGCCTGGAAGGGAAAGTGAACTGAATGAATAGTCTTTTTCCCAATTCCGTTTCCTCATCAACTTCTAAAGCAAGTGGTTGATAAGCATAAAGTTGTGCCAAATAATTTTTCCAGACTAAAGGCTAGATCCTTTGGACAGAATAGCAAGCATTTCTAGAAGTCATAACATATCTAGACACAATATGTAGCTTCAAGTTATGATTTAGGTTGGTTATATGTATCAGTAAGAGTCCCTGGGTGGTGCAAACAGTTAAATGCTCAGCTACTAACCGAAAGGTTGGCAGTTCGAATCCACCCAAGAGGTGCCTCGGAAGAAAGGCCTGGCGATCTACTTCCGAAAGATCACAGCCATTGAAACCCTACGGAGCGCAGTTCTACTCTGAAACACACGGGGTCGCCATGAGTCGGAATCGACTCAGTAGCAACTGGTTTTTGGTTTTATAAATATCAGCATATTCTCCCCCGCAAAAACACTATTCTAAGCTTAGATAATAGGAGCCAGAAGTTATTCATAAAGAAAGTTTGTTTCAGTAACACAGTATTGAAAAAACTAATAGTAGATATAAGACCACAACTGAAGATAACTCTGCTCAGAGGTCTTAGTTAGAGTAAAAAAAAATCTACACCTAGCTTCCTACAACAATAGTTGCTAACTTCCCTTATAAAGACAGTTCTAGTAAATTTTCAATCATACCATCAGCAGACTGTCCTTTCCTGGTTGTTCGTTTCACAGTTTCCCAAGTTCTGTTCAGCAGAGAAGGAAAAACAAAATCATTAAATAGGAGAATGTTCTTAGGTTTTCTGTGTACAACCAGAACTTTACAAATGCAAGCATGCAAATGTTACCGGTTAAGAAGACTAGGACAATAAAGATTTCTATTTTAAAAAAGCCAATTGTGCTTTCCTACAGCTTCTGAAAATTACCAAAAAAACCTGTGCCACCCTACACCTAGCCCTCTGGGTGCCATCTGAATAGAAAGCCTGTTCACCTGAGCTGAAGCTTTCAAATCATTTACTCCAAGTACTTTAATTTGGTTCATAAGTCTATAGGCAAGCAGACAGCTGGTGATTTCGGCTTTAAAGGCTATTAAGCAGTTTATGCAAATTAAGCCCCCTATGAAAATTCTAGCCCTATCTCTAAAAACAAAAGATACTGAGTATAATGCGAATTACTGAGATAGTTACTTATATATATTTTTAAAATATGTGACTTGAAGTACACAATTTAGGAAAATGGGCCCTTTCCATTTAATAATTGAGGAATTATTAAACTGTGGTAAGTGCTTTGCATGTGAGATCTTATCTAAGAAGAAAAACAGTCCCTAAAGGAAAAAGGTGAATAACAACAGATTCCTGCTCCCTTTTATGGCTTCATTTCTTATTTACTATTTGTTTCTAGCTGGTTTAGCTACTTCAGTATTTCGATAACATCTGTGATAGTACTTTATCTCCCAGGAACACTGGGCAGAGTTGTATTGGAACAATCATGTTGTTTAAAGGGGGAGCGCTGTATGGGGGACATTCTCTTTCACTCTCGTATCCCTTCAATAGAAAAAGGCAGTGGTAAGAGGCAGGAATGAAGAGTCAAATAATTTTAGGATCTCTTCTAACAGAAGTAAGACATCTGAGTGGCTCTGGGAATTGGGATTAAGGAGTTCAAATCTGCCTCCCTATTGTAAGGGTTATAAAATGCACTACCCTGAGAAACCCTCTTGTTCTTAACTTTTTATCTAGCTGTCCCTAAGGTTTGGACCTTGCCACATGTCTGTAAAAAAATTTCTAGTATTTCATCCGGTAAAAAAAACTTTCTGTAAACGGTAGATGTTTCCGTGTTGTACCCAAATTCTAAAGGACAAATGTGTCAAAAAGAACCTATGAAAATCAAACAGACTATTTTGATAACTCACAGCTGCTCAACATTCCTGTTAAGTAGCAAGAAGCCAACCAACAAGCAATTTTGATAAGTTAAGTAAAACAGGCTGGAAGAGACAAAAACACCTTTGGCACAGCTCTCACATCTGCCTTCTAAGGTTAGTCCTAAAGACTGAAGAAGAGAGTGCTGGGAAAAGCACTGCAGATCCCATCCCAAATACACTAGGAATAAGGGGGAAAAAAGAAGAGTGTTGTTATACTGGTTAAGATGAAGTAAAGCAGCAGTAATGAGCCATAAATGATAAGCAATAAACTATAAATGCATTTATAAGAAATACTAGAACAAGAATGCCCTGTGAGAGTGCCAATAATCTTAACGGGGCTCTGAGAGATGTACATTTGATTCAGAGTAGAAAATCTTAGCCTCTACTTGTCTACTAGCCAAACCCTAAGCCATTACCTCTCTGAAACTGTTTATTATTTGTAAAACTAGGAAATTAAGAGTATGTTACCTTGACAGTCTCTTGTACTTTGAGAATTCTGATTCTAGTTACTTCACCTTTTAGTATCCTATCTTACAGGAAACACTGTTTTGCTTTCTTCCCTCTAGTCAACCCACACAGGACACAGGAAGGATGACAACGGATGACTTCAACAATATCCTGAATGTCAACAAAGGGGCATAATGCCAGCATATTTTTATAGTTTAAAAATTAATTCCATATCCTCTTCCCTGAGAAGACAATGGAACAAAGGATTCTCTAGCTGGTGTTTCACCCCTTATATACAGGCTTTGATACCTGGTAATAGATAAGAAACACTTTATAAATTTATAAATCATGGTCTACTGGAAAGTACAGCAATTCATTCTTGAAAGCCTGATACTCTGGTACAAAATATTAATACTTTACATTAATGTCTCTTCTGAGGCCACATGGAAGTCCTCTGTATGGAAAAACAAAGGTGAACATAATATAAACATGCCATATAAATGTGGTAGTTTGATAGACTTTGGAAACCCTGGTGGCATAGTGATTAAGAGCTACGGCTGCTAACCAAAAGGTCAGCAGTTCGAATCTACCAGGTACTCCTTGTAAACTCTATGAGGCAGTTCTACTTTGTCCTATAAGGTCATTATGAGTTGGAACCAGTGGATGGCAGTCCCACTCCCAACTACCAAAATAGACTCTCATGAAGTGATGTCCAGACATTAGTGTTTTGAAAACATCTCCCAAATGATTCTGATGTACATCCCTGATTAAAATAGAATAGTTAGAGACAAGCTGATGTAAACCAACACATACTCTACAGATTAATTAGCGCTGAGGGTTATAGTTTGTGTTATAAACTTCAACAACTTTATAGAAAACCAAACTGTATAATATAAATTGGGTTCCAATCTCTAGATATTTTCACAAGTACACCTGAATATAAGTACATTTGAACTTACTATGTTCCCTAAGGCTTGGGCCTTACCACATTTCTGTATTGGGTTTGGCTCCTATCCTCTACTTATTTCATATTTAGTTCTACATATCAAAATCCATATACTTGACATTTTAAGGAGTTCTGTTCTTCCTCCACTGTGTTGATGGTAATACTGTGCATAGCTTTCTTACTACTAGGTTTTAATTCAATAGTGCTGTGGATATCTTAATATAAGTTTCACATAGCTCTCCGACATCAGGCCTTATTTATGTTTTTGCTGGTTTAGTACTTTTAAACAAAAGTTGTTTAAATTGCTGGCTAGTCCATATATTTTTGCATTGTTGTTAGGTGCTGTTGAGTTGGTTCTGACTCATAGCAACCCTATGTACAACAGAACGAAACTGCCTGGTCCTGTGCCATCCTCACAATCATTGCTGTGTTTGAGCCCATTGTTGCAGCCACTGTGTCAGCCCATCTCCTTGAGGGTCTTTCTCTTTTTCGCTGACCCTCCACTTTACCAAGCATGATGTCCTTCTCCAGGGACTGGTCCCTCCTGATAACATGTCCAAAGTATGTGAGATGAAGTCTCACCATCTTCCTTTCTAAGAAGCATTCTGGCTGTACTTCTTCCAAGACAGATTTGTTTGTTCTTCTGGTAGTCCACAGAACATTCTTCGCCAACACCATAATTCAAAGGCATCAATTCTTCTTCGGTCTTCCTTATTCATTGTCCAGATTTTGCATGCATATGAGGCAACTGAAAATACCACGGCTTGGGTCAGGCACACCTTAGTCCTCAAAGTGACATCTTTGCTTTTTAACACTTTAATGAGGTCTTTTGCAGCAGATTTGCTCAATGCAATGTGTTGTTTGATTTCTTGACTGCTGCTTCCATGGGCGCTGATTGTGGATCCAAGTAAAATGAAATTTGTGACAACTTCATATTCTCTCTGTTTATCATGATGTTGCTTACTGGTCCAGTTGTGAGGATTTTGTTTTCTTTACATTGAGGTTTAATCCATACCCGAGGTATTTCCAATGAGTAAGTCGCTGGTCTTGCAAAATTCTATCATGTGCTCTCTGGTGTCATTTCTATTGCCAAGGCCATATTTTCCAAATACTGATCCTTCTTGTTTCCAACTTTTGCACTCCAATCATCAGTAATTATCAATGCATCTTGACTACATGTTTCATCAATTTCAGACTACAGAAGTTGGTTTAAAAATCTTCAGTTTCTTCATCTTTGGCATTAATGGTTGATGTATAAATTTGAATAATAGCATTAACTGGTCTTCCTTGTAGGCGTATGATATTATCCTATCACTGACAGCACTGTACTTCAGGACAGATCCTGAAATGTTCTCACAATGAATATGATGCCACTCCTCTTCAAATCTGTCATTCCCGTATAGTAGACCATATGATTGTCCTAATTAAAATGGCCAACATCAGTCCATTTCAGCTCACTAATGCCTAGAATACCTATTTTCAAGCATTCCATTTGATTTCTGACAACTTCCAGTCTTCCTAGATTCATACTTCGTACATTCTATGTTCTGATTATTAATGGATGTTTGCAGCTGTTTCTTCTCACTTTGAGTCATGCCGCATCAGAAAATGAAGGACATCAGCAAATAAAGGATTTCTACACTGATGATACCTTATTTCCTCACAAAGAAATATGTTACTTTTATTTGATTAGTTTGAAAATAGAATTTTGATATTACCCTTATTAACTTATGAATTTGTATCATTTAATCCTATTTTCCCATTGTTTTATTCTTTTATATTTCACTAAGTAAACAATTTAACATTTTTTTCTGATAGTTATTTATAATACCAAAAGACAATAAACAGAAGGTTTAGAAAGTAGAAGAAAAAAGATTGCACAGCTGCCATTAATATTTTCCTAGTTTTGCTTCTAACCTTTTCTTACATATTAATTAACTTCATAGGTTTTAAAACATATATAAATTTTCTACTTTGTTTTTACCTTACTAACTTTTCCTATATTGCTAGGTTGTTTCCATAATCTGCTTTTTAGATGGCTGCATAGATTTTACCAAATGAATACACTGTAACTGAAAATAATTTCTCTATTTCTAAGATGTTTAGGTTGCTTCCTATTTTTTTGCCATTTAAAATTCTGATGAACATCTTTCATTCTTAAGTATGATTTGATATAATAGATAATTTCCTTAGAACATTCTCAGGAGTGGTATTTACTAAGTCAGAGGATATAATATCTTTATAGCTCTTCATACATATTGTGAAATGCTTTACAAAAGAGTATACCCAATTTACATTTCCATGAGCATGATGTAAGCCGTACATTTCACCTCAAACATAGCAATGTTTCTCTTTAATTCTTCTAATATAGAGATTAAAAATTTAACTAGAAGTAAGCAACTTACACTGTTAATTGTTTTGCCACCTTATCAGAAATAGCTTCAATTAGGCTTGGCTCCAAAATATTAGGTCCACACTAGCTACTTAGGGAGAAAGGTGTTAAAATAGATTCCTGGTTAGTTGCTGTAATCAATTTACAACCTAATTATATTCAGAGATTATAAATGATTCTAAGAATGGAAACAACAGCTAAATTAGATTATTTAACAGAGTTTATAAGGAAGACACAATATCACAATTTATGCCAACACTAAACAGAGACCCTGATAACCCAAATAAAAAAAAGTTTACCTAGTTTTACCAGTAGGATCCATGTAAGTTGTTTTTTCAAGCTTGACCCATTTTCCTTCTGAAATCAACTAAAAGGAGATCAGACAATAAGTTGGGAAACTTTCAAACCAAATTGGTTTTATAATAATCGAAAAGGTTTTGTGGTCTTTCTTTCAAATTCTCTCTATGTGGCCCTCTAATAATCTTGTTTCCCTCCTAATAATTTATGGTCGAGCTTTCAGTTCAGAGTAAGTATTAAAGGTTATTTTCCTGAAGGGTGGTTCTGCTTCTTTTGGGGGTTTCTGAGGTAGTACTACAAGTGAAAAGAAATGATAGTGGGGAGGGAAGAACAACTGGAAGGAGCGCAAAGGGGCAAAGGGGAGGGTGTCTTAAGGGATGCCCCTAATATTCTGTCTTCTTTTCTGGGTGCTAGTCACATAGGTATGTTTACTATGTAAACATTCAATAATGGTATTTTATGTCAACAACTACACAGGAAAGCTGACTGTGGGGAAGCCATGTCCAATGACTGGATTTCCTATGATGACATATGGGTGTCCCACCCAACCTGAGACAGGCACCCCAGCACTGTTCTGCTTTGATATTAAGGAGTTTAGGTTACAAGGACTAACTTACCTATGGCACTATACTGAACTGAGAGGAAAGTTTCACTGTGTACTTAAAGCAGTAGCCTTTTTCTTACTATCCTATCTTTCATTTCTTGCCAGCAGCAACCTAATAATTATCAGCAGATCTGTTCACAGACAACATGAAAAGATTTTAAATCAAAAAGAATTCCAAAAGGTGTCAAGATCAGAGTTCCAAGATGAAGGACTTAAGATTTACCCATTACAATGGTTCCTGCAGGTAGATACTTTTTAAATACTCAATTGAATAACACACAAGACATATGTTAGTTCTAGAACTCACTGGAATTTGATTACAACTAACAATTTAGGTTTTTATTGTTCTGAAACATACATGTTAGAACTGTAAACAACTAAGATGTGATATCTAACAAAGTATCAAATAGCTAAGCCCTATACTTCACACATTATTGTTCTACCCAGAGAAACTTCTCATAAGAATTGAAAATTTTTCTATCAAGAGCCAAAATCCACTTTAAAAGTCTCACTTTAACTAGTACATGTAATTAACAGGGATATACTATGGCTCCTACACAAGTGCAAAATATCTGAGGCCTAAAAAGAGAGCAGGAACAATGTTTAAAAATTACCTTCAAGAATATAAACAATCATTTCAAACAACAAATAGCCTATATATTTTTGTATATTTCTCTTAAACTCAGATTATGTGGGAAAGGGAAGTGAAAACCAATTTATACCTCCTCTGAAATAATAGACTGTTTGGTTGTTTGAGAAGAATCCATGGGTTCTTGGTTCTCCATCTTCAAACTAGTTAGTCTTTATAGTTCTCAGGTAGAAGTTCACGCTGTAAGATAATGAGATTTGTTCAGGCTAAAATTATTTTCTGAATTTAACACATTTGTCTACAGACCACTAGTCAAAGCACTTAAACGACAAAAAACTTATCTATCATCAAAGCTAATTATCTTGTGTGAAGATCTGGGAGAACTGCCCCAGATGGAAAAGTAAATGCAAAGGCCCCAGGAAACATTCAGAAAAGAACTTAGTCATCCCAGTTAGATTCAGCCCACATTAACTACTATGTTCCTACATGTACGTAAGGAGCCCTGGTGGCGAGGCACCTAGACACACTGTTAAGGAGATCTTCTGACTTCAAATCTAAAACTCTTTCCAGGGGAAACAGCAGAAAAATTGTATACCACTCTCCAAGCCCATCCTTCAACTATTGTTTCTTGTCAATCCTTCACAGCAAAACTTTTTAAGAGTTGTCTGGGCTGTCTCCACCTCCCATTCACTTTAAAGTACTTTAACACGTATCAAAGCCAGAGTTGCATACAAAGTCAACTCGTACTACAAGGTCTTCACGAAAAGAGCAGATCCCTAGCCCTCCCCTCCCAGATCCCAATCTCCAGAGACAACCAATCCCAACAATTCTGATGTTTTGGTAACTCTAAAAAACTTTCACTTCCCTCTCAGAGTAACAGTGGCATTATAATTTTGGATAGCACCACCAAGTGGACCCAGTTCAATATTGTTGTTGTTAGGCGCCACTGAGCTGATTTTGACTCACAGTGACCCCATATGACAGAGTAGAACTGCCCCACAGGGTTTTCTAGGCTGTAATCTTCACAGTAGCAGATCACCAGGTCTTTCTCTCATGGAGCTGTTGAGTGGATTCAAACCATCGACCTTTTGGTTAGCAGCCGAGCACTTAACTGTTGCGCCACCAGGGTTCCTAGTTCAGTAACAGTGATTATATAATTATGATAATATATATGATTCACAGCTGATCTCTGCAGTACATTTACTTTTCCTTTGATGTACAATTCATTTTATCATTTACCTACTTTTACATGTGCACATGACTAATTTAACACTAAACACGCTTTCAGTTATCTAAAATCTCCCCTTTATACATTTGCATCAAGTATTTACTCCTTGTATTCTATCAGTCTTATCTTCTTAATTCTCTCCTGGAGTCCTCTGGCCTGCTCCAGTACTGGCTGCCCTCTATGCTTTGGCAGAGCTCTCATTCCGTGACCTCCCTTCACCATCCTCAGCTATACTGGGATCCCATTTGTTGTGTACCACTACTTCCTCTTTTCTTAGTTTATGCCTTCAGTTTTAGAACTTACATGTCTGAAACTCTTTCTTCTGCCCCCACAACAGATTAATAATATGACCAAATACAGAATTATAGGTTGAAAATAATTTTCTATCAGAAACTTGAAGGTATTGCTCAGTTATCTTGCTCCTGATGTTGCTGTTGAGAAGTCTAAAGCCATTCTGATTCTTGATCCTTTTTCTTGTGTGACCTGTAGGTTATTCATGTTGATGTACCTGGGGGTGGTAATGCTTCCATACATTATTTTCTATACTCAAGTGGGTCCTTTTAACATGGAAACTACATATTGTGCTTTTTTTACAGGGAACTTTACTTGAATTATTTCACTGATAATGTCACCCCTCCATTTTCTCTTTCAGAAACTTTATTTAGCTGTTGGACTTCCTGGATTGACCCTCTGTCTTATTTTTTTTCATTTCTATTTTCCACTTCCTTGTTATTTTATCTACATTTCTGAGTGGCTATCCCAAACATTGACTACTCTTAAGTTCCACAGTTCCCTACGCCATCTCCTAACTTTAGCTTCAGAGAAAACATAGAACTTCAAGCATCAACTCTCTTACTGTCTTAGAGGAAAAAGTGTCTTTCCTCTTTGTTTTTTCTGGGACCCAAAGTGGTAATTACATTACCCATCAATCTTCAATTTCTACCTCCTACACCGAGGTACCTCTCTCCTAAAATACAACACCCAACAACACAAAAATCAATAAACTTTTCATAACCTGTCCTCTCCTCCAACCTTGCCAGACTTCTTGAGAGAACTGATGACACTATTGCTAGTCTTTATTTAGCCCCTAGCAATCTTCTCCTCCACCACTCTATGGAAACTATTCCTTCCATTGCTTACAAATACTAGTGTTTCCGTAGAGTCCTTCCTGATCACTTCCCTATCTAAGCTATTTTTCTAGTTAACCCATCTACTTATGGATTCAGTAATCATTTATACAACAATTACTGGATTTTTACTTGTTTCTGCCCACATCTCCTGAGCTGTACCTATAGATGCCTTGCCTATATCTCAAACTCACCTTGTCTAAACCTGAATTTGCTCTCTTAATCACATATAGTCATCATCCCCAAGCTAGAAATTTAAGTATCTCCAATCCTTTATTCTCCTTTTCCAACCATAACTTATCAGTTATAAGTCCTAAAAATCCTACCTCTAACATTTCATGAAAGTGTCCTAGTTCTATCATCACTGCACTGGTTAAAAACCTCAGCACCTCACACTTGGGATCAAATGATTTCCAAAACAATCTCCTGAACTCGTTTTTTCTTTCTGTTGTCCAACCTTCAACACTGCTGACAGTTACGTTGCTGTAAAAACTCCCCAAAATCACTGTCGAATAAAGGAATGAACAAAATGAATCTGAACTGGGTAAGTCAAGAGATCCATTCTGTTCTGAAGCATTAGGTTAGTTTGAGGCCTGCTTAGACTAGTTCTAAAGAATAGTTCTTCCCTTACTCCTCTTTGACTAAAGTAGTCAAACTCAATTTCAAAACTATACTGGCACAAAGTTAAAAGATTCATATTTCCTGGTTTCAAAACTTACTACAAAGCTGTAGTAAACAAGATGGTGTGGTACTGGCATAAGGATAAACATATATTTATCAACGGAAAAGAATTGAGAGTCCAAAAAATAGACCCATACATTTATGGTCGATTGATTTTTGTCAAGGGTGCCAAGACTAGGGTGCAATTCAATGGGAAAAATAACATTTTTTTCAACAAATGGCGTTCAGGCAACTAGGTACACACATGCATGAGTATGAAACTGAATTTCTACCTCACTCCATGTACAATATTAACTCAAAATGGATCAAAGACCTAAATGGAAGAGCTAAAACTATAAAAGACTTCTATAAGTACAAGCAAACAGAAAAGACAAATTGGACTTCATCAAAATTAAAAACGTTTGTGCTTCAAAGGACACTATCACGAAAATGAAAAGACAACCCACAGAATGGGACAAAATATTTGCAAATTACATATCTGATAAAAATATGTGAAGAAGTCTTATAACAATAATAAAAAGACAAATAACCAAATCAAAAAATGGTCAAAGGATCTGAATAGACTATCTCTGCAGATATACAAATGGCCAGTAAGCACATGAAAAGATGTTCAACAGTCACCATTTTTATGCAAATAATGAGTGCTTCTATGTTTGTTTGCCAACCTGCCCTCCTTCATCGAGGTATTTTCATAAGTGCCACTCAGCCAATTTTTTTTACATGTTGCTGTAAAAAAATTTAAGCATAGCCCGTTTATGAAAATACTTCATGGGGGGAAGATGTGTTATTTGCATAAAAATACAGTAGTCACTGTTGTTGTTAAGTGCCATCAGGTTGATTTCGACTCACAGCCACCCCACGTGACAGAGAACTGCCCCATAGGGTTTTCTTGGCTGTAATATTTACAGCACCAGATTGCCAGGTCTTTTCTTCCACAGAGCCGCTGGGTGAATTCGAACTGCCAACCTTTCAGCTAGCAGTCAAGCACTTACCCTTGTGCCACCAGGGCTCCATGAGAAAACTAAAACCACAATGAACTACTACTAGGATCACTATAATCAAAAAGAACAATAACAAATGTTGTCGAGGATGTGGAGAAATTAGAACCCTCATAGACTGCCAGTGGGAATGTAAAAAGGTATAGCCTCTTTGGGAAACAGTTGGGCAGTTTCTCAAAATGTTAATTAAGCATAAAGTTCCCATATGGCCCACGCTTAGGTATATGCTCAAGAGAAATGAAACAAAAACCTGTACATGAATCTTCATTGCAGCACTACTTATAAGAGTCAAAAAGTGGAAACATCCTAACGTCTATCAACTGATGGTGGATAAACAAAATGGTATATCCATACAATGGATTATTCAGCCATAAAAAGGAATGGAGTATTGATTTGTGCTAAAATGTGGATGAATTTTGAAAGCATTATGCTAAGTGAAAGAAACCAGACACAAACGACCACATATTGTACGATTCCATTTATATGAAATACTCAGAATAGGCAAATTCATAGACAAAAAGTTTATTAGTGGGGCCAGAGGCTAGAAGGGAAGAATGGGGGAATGGCTGGGGTTTCTTTTTGATGAAAATGCCCTGGAATTAAACAGTGGTGGTGGTGGTGGTACAACCCTGAGAATATACAGCCTCATTTAGTGTACAAAATAATCTGTCTAAAACAGTACAAAACACTTTGGATTAAGCTTCTAACCTCCTTTTTTAAAGGAACAGGCTGATCCCATATAACTTTTCTGTGCATGCCCAAACGTCTTAAAGGCAGGGAACTGCAGTCCTCAAAAGTATAAGCACTACCAGAAGATAATGAAAGAAGAACTAGATAATTTCTTACGTCCTCCATGAAGAGAGTTCTTATTCTGGATTCCCAGAAGTTCTAAACAAAATAGTAACACGTAATGGAGGAAGAATAGTACCCGCCCCCCCCATGTGAGTATCTTTAGGGGAAAAAGGGCAACCTGCTAGTCCCTAAAGATTTACATAAAACTTCAGACATTTAAATTATCTGCTAGGACCCTTATGCAAGTATCTTTAAAGTTTCTCCCAGATTT